TTAGTCGTGAAGGAGCATGATCCGGCAGTCGAGGAGATAAAGGAGCAGCCAGTGGTCGATGATATCGAGGAGCAACCAACCGGCCGCTGATGATGATGATGATGATGATGATGATGATGATGAAGAAGAAGAGAAGCGTTCAAAGCGCCACCTCCATCTCTTGTTCTGACATCCCCCGCATCCCATTGACGTTGCGGCGCAAATACATGCCTTTAGTGTGTCCTGCCGGTCGTTATCGAACCACATGTTGAGGCTCAGGAGGTCTACTGAGCGCGATCAGCATCTTGGAGGCAACAGCACAAAGCGCTGCAAACTGGCCAGTCCCAGGACTCCTGTGGACGCGTTGTGGGATTTGTTTCGCCCAATGACGCTGCTTCCATGTTTGGATTTGGGTTGAGCCTCATGCAGGGTTCGGAGCTATAGACTGCGTCTTCAAGTCCAGAGTGGAAGGGAGGCAGTGCCGGGTGGCATCACTGCCGCGACGCCCCCGTCGCCTCCGTTGCGCACCGGCGGGAGGTGCACCACGGCGTTCTTTCAGGAGGCAAACGTCACCAGCCAGGCTTCGTGGGCGGCGTTGCTGGAAGCCGAAACAAACGTATTTCCTTGGATGGCTGCATTTGTGCTGCCTGAATTGCTCCCGAACAAGTGGCGCCGCCGCGGCCGGAAGAGACACTGCAGGAACAATGGCAGATCCAAAGAACTTGAAGATGAAGCTGACGACAAAGGCCCAGCCAGGTAGGGGAGCAGGTGCGCTGCGTACGCATTTGCGCAGTGAATGACATGCTTTGCTGATATGCTGCCGCGTGATGTGCGCACTTCATAAGGTTGACTTCCAGAGTGTTGCAGGATTTCTCGAGTGGCCAGATCTTCGCCAGCGTCCGCTTCAACACTCCATGTTGATCCGCCTCGAACTTGTCTCGAGTGAGCTGCTCGACGGCAGCCAAGCAGCACCTTGTTATCCAGACAAGGTAGTTTACCATCGTCCATCGAGGGTCAGACCTGGTCTTTGTAAAAACATGCCATCTCTTCAACACATGCCTATCACCGTCTCCGGAGGCTGTTGCGGGTAGTTGTGTGGCCTTTGGCGCCACGGCACTGGTGTTAGGGGTAGATGCCTTAGCGCCGCCCCTTGCTCCCGCGTGGTGGACTGTGCTGGTGCCGCCGGGAGCCCGATCATCGACCAAACGACCAGCGATAGCTGGTACCTGCTCATACGTCCAACTCCCAGTCAGTCGCTCTGTTCCTCCGTCACTTTTTACGTGCGCGCAACCATCTCAGACGTTTTCGACCCGGGAACCGGGGCACCCGATAAGATCGTTCGGGGACTCAGAAAAAAGGATCCCGACGTAGGATTGGAGGTAGAGCTGATGTGCCCCTGGTAAAGACCACTGGAACCAGCGGCATACATGCGGCCTGCACGTCCACAGCCGCTGAGAGGTTGTCGACTGCACAGGCGAACTTTCCATGGCAGTTTTTGCGCTCAAGCGAGCCCCGGCCGGCTTTCTCGTTCACCCTCACCTCGACCGCTTCTGGGCGTGGCAAAAATGGCAGTCAAACGTTGTAGCCGGCGTTCCCTAGGGCGCCCATGTCAGTGATGGCAGCTTTTGGCGCGTCCCGGCCGGCTGGACGACCTGGCTGTTTGCGCGGGAAGGTGAAGCCATCATGGCATTGACATGTCGGGCCAATGGTTTCCACTTCGACAATCTCCTCTTGGACTTGTGCCTGGCCACGCTTGCTGTGATACCGGCCATGGAAATGATGGAGAAAATCCAGGCGGCTGTGATCTAGGCTGGTTGAGAGACCGGAGAGACATGCTGCGACGCTTTGCCTGTCGTTGCTCTTTTATATCCGTTCCCTTGACCCCTCCCATCGGCCATTTTGCACGAGTTCCATGGTGCGAGACCCGCCAGCTCACGCATCATCTTCGATGGTGTATGCGGTGGATCGTTCGTAGGGTACCGTTCTGGTATGCTAGTTTAGGGCGTTTGCCGTGGTTCGGTGTAGGTCAGGGCGGAAGTCGTGGGGAGGAAGTTGTAGGGTACAAGTTGTAAGGTGCACGTCGACATCTGGCTTGCCAAATTGCCGTAAGGACCGCCGTCGCTGCGGAACGCACGCGCGCACGAGGCGGGCATGTAGCTGTGAGCGGATATAGCTGTGCGCTCTTGGGCGTTCTCTGCCAGGTGTTGGAGGGCGTTAATTGTAGGGTGTCAAGTGTCGAGTGCCTGGCACCCCGGGGGGGGGGGGGGGGGGAAGAGGAGAAGAATTCTGTCCCCAGTATTAGAGTATTCTGCCCGGATTTCCTGCCTCGTTGGGGACGGAATTCTGACGGCCCCTGAGTGCCAGGTCTGTCGTGCCGGTGAGCATTGTGCCCTTGGTTCATTGCTCTCGGTTCTTGCTTTTGTTCTTGCCTTTGTTCTTGCCCTTGGGGTTTTGCTTTGGCTCTTTTGCCCTTTTTTTGTGGAAGACGTCTCTCATGCCGTCCGAGAATTCCTCCTCATTCACGCTTCATACCTCCTCCCTCACGACACTTCCTCTTGTCTTTGATGCAACCAGGGCTACCTAGGTAGATACCCTGGGACGGTGTTTGTATATGGTTTCGTGATAACTCGGCCGTGTCGTCGAAGGAGGGTAAAAGAGGGAGGGGGGAAAGGCGGGTTCGCCGATGACACTGGCAGCGTCCTGTGGGAATGCTGTGCGTCGATTCTGGCTTTCGAACTTGGCCACTCGTCGCGTCCTGTAGCGTCTTCTGACCGCCCGCAAAGATCAAACAAATATCAGATGGGAACCTCATTTGCCAGCCGTGGCCTACCAGGGACCAATCACTCCAATCGGTCGCGGTTTTCTTCGTTCGGCAGCATTCTTGAGGCGACGCGCAAAACGGTGTGGGCCAGACCGTCAGGAAGTCCTCGGTGCGTGTACTTGTAACCTGTCACTGCCGCTTTCGAACCTGTCCTCGCTTTTCTCAGGTACCACGTTGTTCTTGCTGTGCTTGAGGTTGTCATCGCTGCTGTTCTTGCTATCTTTGCTGACGGTCACAACCGGGGGAGCAACTCGTGGACTCGTTTCGTAGGCAGTTACGGCTTTGAGGACCGAGCGAAGTCTCCCAGCCGTGCGATTGCATCCTCACTGAGCTCGTCAGCAGTGGAATCGGTGCCAGGTCTGCAACGGCATCCCGTGCGGCATCCGTCTCTTGCGAGTCGTACGGGTACAGATTGAAGAGTCGCTGTTGGGCTTCTTCCCGGGTGAGCTCTTCTTGCCCTGCTGCTCGTGCTTAGTTCGGATATTGAGATGCTGCTATTGATCCTCGAGGGACTACGAATAGACGTGTGTTTTGTCCGCTTCAGACAGATGCACGCTGTGCTCCACGAGAAGTTGACCGACAGTGCTTGTTCGAGTTCGAGAACGTCGAGGCCATGCCACCCACTTTGATGCTTGGGCCTTTCGCGGACGGGGGCGTAGGGGTTGATCCAGCCAGTATAGCTGAGCCGATCAATTAGACCACGGACGACAACGAGTGCATTTGTGACGCCCAGATCCCGCCAGAAGGCGCTCTCCCTCGGTGACGGCAGAGTCGTCTACTTCCCTTTCAGGGGAATCGGTCTCATCGCCACTCTGACAACCCTCTCTTGGGAGCCGGAGCCGGAGCCAGCTTTGGAGCGGTAGTGATGGCTGAGAGCCTTATTCGTAGTCTGCGAGTGTACACGGGCCGTGTAGGATGACGCATTTCCAGGAAGAGAGCCGGGCCTTCGTGGAGGATCTTCAAGACAGCTCTGGTGATGACGCGCAGAAGATCACCGGCAAAGCCAGACCGTAGATGCAAGCTGCCAGGTTTCGTTGACGTTGGTTGGAAAGACAACAAGTGAGTGACCGCGTGGAGTTGTTGAAAGACCCAAAGAGCGCGTCAGGGCAAGACGCGTTGTGGAATGTGCATTCTTCCCATTCCAAGGAATGACTCCAGCATGGCCCGTGCATTCTGGCCATTGGACGTGACCTGGACTTGTCGACGCGCAAGACACCTGCCTGCAGCCACCCCGTCCATATTCACAGGCAGACGGCCCGAAGGGTGGACCATCAAGCAAGCATCATGACATCGGCAGCTTCCCATCCACAGCGGCCCACGGCCCGCATGTCCCGGCTCCTAGTCGGCTCTGGTCGTGGCCAGTAGGGATTGTTTTGCGGGCAGGATCCCGGTCGACTTGACGGCTCAGAGAAGCGATGGCGACCTTGACTTCTGGCTTTCCCACGGGGGCGGTCGAGCAGATGAAGACCCAATTGTCGCAGATCATTCTGAAAACGATCAAGGCCTGACGCTCCTCGAAGCACTTGTCCTAGGCTGTGCTAACTCCTACTGCACTCTCGAGCCTGTTATTCCCGGGCACAGAGACTGACAGCCACTGTCATCCCTCTGGTTAGGACGCCTAATCCCGATTGCTGGGCTCTGTCGTTCTTGTTCGCAGCCAAATATAACCAAGATAGACAGCACGCACCGGCCCTAGAAGGCTCTTGCTTGTTGCCCTGTAGTCTTTTGGCGTTGAATGCCATCACTTCGTCCCAGATCAAGCAGGTCGTGTCAAGCGTTAGTGTTTGCCGAGCGGGTTGTGTACACAGGAGGGTAATAGACGTCAGGAGGTGACGTGACGGTCGTTTTGTTTTTGCCTTCCCCCGAGCCTTCGAAAAGAGTTTAGCGGCTAATCAGTGTCGCCTTCTCATAGAGGGAGCCACCTGCACCGAAAGGACGAAGGCCATACTCCTATACATCTCGACCTCGTACGTATCAAAGGCTCTCGCCACCTGCAAAACAATCTCTGGACCAGCTCCCAAGACGCTCCAAGGCTTGTGCCAGTGTCCAAGCATCGTCTCCAATGACATGATCGTCTGGGTATTCCTCGTGCAGAAGGGTCTGCATAAAGTGGCCGTAGAGACGAAGGAGAAGATATTCTTGCTGCTGAGGGGACAGCGTCCAAGCATCGTCTCCAATGATATAATCGTCTGTGTATTCCTCATTCAGGAGGTTCTGCACAAAGAGGCGCCTCGTGGAGATGAAGGAGGGGATGTTCTTGCTGCTGAGGGGACAGCTGCGCCGGATCATATTGCAGGAGGTAGTCGTTGATCGAGCTCAGATTAGACGGGATCAGCGTCAGGTCCACCGCTTGTCTGTGCACTGGGGTAGTCATGTTATATCCATTACCCAGATTGCAGGCCTCCCTGGGTTGGGTGTCCTGAGAATTATCCTTGTCTTGTCAGCATCGTAGTCTCCTTTGAGATCGCAATTTGGACAACTGTCGGCCGGCACGGAGACGTATTCAGGCTGGAGTAAAGTGGTCTTTTCCAGGCACTTCTTGTATTCTCCGTATCCATCTCTGTTTGTATCCCTCACTTCGAGACTGCGGATCGCTCGTTCAACTGTGTCGTCGCTCCACCGCAGTAATACCATTCGCCGGCCGAGGAATAGAAGGCGAGGGCTTCGTGACTTTGAGCAGCCAAATGTCGAATCTGAGGCTCTGTTCGCGAGGGTTTCGCATGTTGTGTGTAGGTATAGGCGACAGTGAGGGCGACTGCCCCAGCGAGGGCTAGGAGCAAGGGTTTCCGATGATCCCGATCGGACATGTTGCGGCATGGTCAAATGTATCCATAGCGAGACTGAGTCTGCATCCAGGGTGACCTCGTCAATTCTCGGTGTCGGGGAGTCAGCGCAGGAATCCGATAGATCCCTCTGTCAGGTCGGTGGGCCGTAAAGGCAGAAAGGAGTAGAGATGGGACGTGCTCAGCAACAAAAAGACCATGCTCTCCTTGGGTCTGTCGGGATTTTGAGAAAGAGAAGACACCGCACAAGGACTGATTGAGCGGACAAGACGAGCAGGCAGCACACAACCAGGTTGAGTGGTGAATAGAAAAGAGTCGTCGGCTCAGACGAGCTCGCAGCTGGAGCACACCCACTTGTTTCAAGAGCGCGATCTCGTCCAACTACTATACAGTACCCCTGACGAAAAGCGAGACGATATTTCCGATTCGGAGCGAGAGAGGTGCAACAGCACGTCAGCCCTCCCTCCACCTCTTCGCCCATGGCGGCAGGGCTGCGTGCAGAAGTGGTCAGCGGCCATCCCTTCTGGAGTGGGCGCCAATTTCCAGGACCACATTCTCGGAGGACTCCTATTCGACCTCAAACCCGGCATTCTTTGATGATTTCGAGTCTTCGAATGCTCCGAGAGTGTGGGGGATGCATCGTCTTTTGTCGGTCACAACGGGTTGTGACGCTGGTCAGCTTGGTGCAAGACGTCGGCTCCTAACCGCTCCTCCAGGCGCCGTTATCGCCCTGTAGACCCTGTTGGCACATTCGGAAGGACAAGCTCCAGACTCTCTTCAGGCGCAAGAAGGGTAAGGAGAGCAGCCTAGCGCCGCTGCTGACAGGCGACGACCTCCGGGACACCATGGCCGCGCTGTCTCCCTCGGGACTCAGTGGTGGCTCGAGGTCGTCGATGTGTTCGGGTTTGAGCTTGAATTTCAGCCGCAGAGGACGGCAAAGAATATACTGAGAAAGGGAAGAGTCACCACGTTGCTTAGCGGTATGCAGTCGTGTATTCGGGACCGTGTAATCCAACGTCCGGCGCTGGTGACGCGTGCATTCATCAAAGGTCGTTCCTGTCATCAACCTGACAGTCAAGCTCCGTTCTTTGTGGGCTAGGATCGCTCTCATATCAGTGCCCGTGGTACTCTGAGAAGTCTGAGCCAAGGTGATATCTTTTGCTTTGACAGTCTTCACTGACTCTCATATTGGATCTCTCGGTTCACAGCAGGCAGTCGACTCGGGCGATGATGTCTTCTTGCTCCGTGTGGCCGCTCGGGGGCACCGTCCAATACAAGCCCTTGGTACGATTCCTGTTCGCGTGGCCCAACAGCCTCTGCTCGGCCATGGGGCCCGAACAACTGTCCGGCGTCATGGAGAGCATCACGCGGACCTCTGCCGAGCGTTCGGACTGCTGCTCCGAGCCCGTGTCCAGCTCGTCCACGACTCGGACTCACCAAGCCATCGTCGCTGCTCAAGTCTGCTGAGCAGCCAATACAAGTGTCTGACAATCTGTCCATCTGTGGAGTCCTCGTCGTATGTTCCAGGGATCGTCTCCTGCAACAGACCTGGCCGGCTCGGTGCCGTATTCCTTGGGCTCAAAGGGCTCTATTTCCAGGCGAATCCTCAGATCCAATGGCGTGTGGTTCATGGCCGGCTCCTGGTGGCCTCAATCGAGCTTGTTGGCGATGAGCGACGCGTTACTGGTCTTGGTGGCGGAAATCGCGTTATGGAGACGGCGTACATCGGTTGTTGCAAGAATGGAACCGCCACCGTCAAGACAACCAAACCCCAATGCAATATGGCGTCCTTGAGACGCTGCAAAGTTGCTCTTGACCATCTAGTTTGAGCAGATACAGGGAGGGAACAGGGGCGGTTTTTTTACGGAGGCCAAGCGGTTGTCTGTAGCTGCGCTGAGCTCATCCCCTTCTTTCTATCGAGTATCTTCCTTTTGAGTGTCATCTTGAGGAAGCTGGCGTCGGATGTGCCCACACCACTTCACGAAGCTCTTTGGAGTCGTTCCCAGTAGTCTGTAGCTGGTCTGGTGCCTGGGCGGTCGTCGTCGCTACTGCGTTGCGTTTGGTTCGGGACCATTCTGTCCACGTCCAAGGCAGCGAGGCTCAAGAAGACGGTTCAACTGTGAAGCGCTTGTGTGTTAGCTTTCGGCCTTCAGCAAAGGGGGAGAAGGGCGACACGCAGCCAGATGGACCCACGAGCGAGTGTGTCCTCCGCAACCTCCCTCGGCGCCACCATTCGGATCAACACGGCGAGAGATGTACCATTGGCCGAGTCGTGAGCAGCAACCATGAACTGCTCATTGAGTACAAGCTGAAGAAACAGTCAAATTGTGTGTCGCTCAATCCAAGGACTCGGTGAGCTCACCAAAACTCGAATTCTTGTATTTTGCACCATGATTGTACAAACCCCTCCATGCCGTTGCTTAATGCGTTCAATAATTCGATCATACCTAGTTACCAAGAGTTCCAACGTCAGCCGCAGATACAAAACATTCACTCACACAGTGTATAGAGAGGTGCAACCAACGACGAGAGCACTCTAGGGGTATCGGCCATAGAAGTGGAACCAGCGATACTCACGCTTCTGCCAACTCCCAGCGTCTCGTAGTCCATCTCGTAGCTCTTGTTCTGTCACCGCAGAGTCGTCACGCAGGGGATGACGTCCAACACGAGACTGGTTGAAGTGGGAGTCGCTCCACAGGAATGTAGACGATAGGAGGAAATCGACGAGAGAGGATGTGGAGGGGGTTAATCCAGGAAACTTCTCCAGGGAGCGGTGGCGTTCCGGGCGTATGATGATCTCCTAGCGGTGAGTAAGTTTGTCCCGATTGTGCATGGAAGCAACTGCGCCATCGAGTTTGGATTTGGTGGCCATGGCGTTAAGCAGCTTCTTGTATTTATGTTTCTTCGTCTTCAGGCGCCTCTGTCTCTTGACGCTGATCGCATACATTCCTCCTCTTCGCCTGCCTGGAATAGACCCGACCTGCCTTCGGTTGCCGATGATGATCCTGCTTCGCCCCAGCGGGAACTGTGGTACAATCTCTGGCAGGGCAGGATGTCCAGAAAAGCCAACGTCATCCGGCGGCCTGTACGGGAATGCCTCCGATGATGGGGCCAAAAACAGGGCCGAGGAGAGGCATGGTCATGGCGATGCCCAACGCTCGGCCCTCCTTCATCGTCGTCTGCGTTGCCTTTGCCGTTGCCTTTGGCGAGACACCATGTCGTCGTCCGTCCAAAGAGGATGGCGACCTGGGCGAAGATGGACGAGGCCTGAATTCACTTTTCCGTATGGGAGAACTGGGTCTTCGATGATACGAAGCGCAAAGGAAGCCAGTCGTTTGGAACTCCTTGTCGTGCGACCGACGCGAGCATTCGGGGATAGGGCACTGAGTATTCGTGCGGTTTCTTGCGAGATCTTGGATGTCCGCATTTTGCACAGTATTCTTTGCGGAGAGAAATGCGAATGATGCTAAGCGCCAAATGCATCAACGTCGCCGAGATCGACGACCGGTATGCTGTGCTCTGGAGTGGTAGGTAGGCTTTGACATGGGTCGGGTCGGGTAGGTGCGTGTGGCTGAACTCCGTCCGGTCTGTAGGTGTACCTGCGACGGTTCGTTTTCGAGCCACGTACGTGACGATCGTCATCTTCTACTCCGGGTTCTCCATCGCGTGTAGCAATCTGAAGGTGACGGTGTCGACCCCCGTGACGATCAACTTGGTCACCTTCACGCAAACGATCACGTTCGACTCGGTGTACATGCACAGGTGGTTGAACGGAGCGGGGAATAAGGAGGTCAATATGCGCGTCAGACACCCGGGGGGGAGGGGGGGGGGAGAGGAAATGAAAACTGCTTCCCAAGGGACCGGGGCTCAGGTTTGAGGAACGCTGGCTGGTGTTGACGGTGGTGGTGGTGTTGCGTCGTGATTCAAGGCGGATGTTGAATATGCGGCGGGTAGGATGGGCTTGACTAGACTGGCCTGCCAGATATAACTGATGGTTCCGCCTTTTCATTGAGCTAGACGCCCACTTGATATGTTTTAGCAGAAGCTGTTTCCCGTGTCTTTTCTGGCAAGCAGTTTCACTTGGAGAACAACATTCGCTCCTCTAGCCGCAAGATCAACATTGGTCTGCTGCGCCCTGCGACAAAGTCGTCACCACCGCGAAGATATACCCGGTCGTAGTATCTCAGCTTTGTCTTGGGATCTGTATGTTAAAGCAATGCAACAGCGCCATAGATGGCTATATTCAGGGGTCAGCTTGGTGAACTTTGTTTCCTAGCTTTTATTGTGGTGATTGGCAACTCACCCTCTTGATCGGTGGCGTTCGTGCAGGATATTGCAACACACCGATGTTCAACTGAGCGATGGCGGTTTGATCGGAGCAGAGGCAGTCCTAGCCGCTGGGGGCGTCACCGGATGTGCCATCCCAGCTTCCCCCCATGCAGTCAGACCACTGCAGATTTTGTTAGAACCTCTTTAAGACCCTGTAACAAGAGACCATGTCCGCAGGATATACCGAGCAGGATTGGGAGCCATGCAGCATTCGTCGTCTGAAGCCGGTGTCCGGATGCTCATCACACCGAGAACAAGTCAGCTCCCTTCAATTTGGTCTTTGTTGATTAGCTGCCGCCCTTTTCTGGGGACTGTTGTTGTTCTTGAGCGTGCCCTCTCCAATCTTCCCTCGCGCCCTTGGAGCTGGAGTTCTCTCGAGAGGCTTCCCGAATCCTTCATTACAGCTGGAGTTCTATCGAGAGGCTTCCTGGATCGTTGGGCAGCTGGAGTGCTTTGGTGGCAGTTCCAGATCCTCCACCAGGGGGCGCTCGCCGTTATCGTGCGGGCGTTTCTTGAGCCACACCCTGACGCTAGCCAGCTGTTCTTCCACATTCTCGATGGTGATCTTGGTGTAGAGGAAATCTATATAGTGGAAAATGTTCGGCCAACCTTCCCAATAGGGGTAGGGCAATACTCGGGCCAACGGAGCGGTTCCACGAACATCTTCTCCGCCGCCTCTGCCGAGTTATCTCGTTGATTGCTGAGCCCGAGACGAGACGGTTCTGAAGAATGTAGAATGGTACTGTAAGACTGGCCATTCCGAACTCCTGGTATCCCCCTTTTTCCCGCTGGACTTCAAAATGTCCATTTAGAGTCGCGCCAGTTTCGCACCTTCTTCTCGTCGTCCTCCATCCCCCCATCTTCCTCCTCATCCTCGCTGCTCAAAAGAGTTATTCGTTCTTTGTTGCTGGATCAGGATCACAGTGAGGTCGAACACGTCCTCGCCATCCAATGCTTGATCACAAAGAAGAGCGAGAACATGAGGATACAAGTCGACGGTCGAGTTGGCACCGGGAGTCAGCCGCAAAGACCATCATCCTGTAATTGGCGTCATCGGCACCGTTGGCGGTACAGGTGCCCGTCATCGAGTTGTACGGCGCCGCCATTCGAGGTCTGAGCATGGAAAGCTCGAATGTCCATCTGCGACGTGTCTATCGAAGGAGGAGCTAGAGCTGGTATGATCGCTCAAGGGACGTCCTCTGGCCCCAAAGGTCGACAGGAATGAGTGGAAGAAGGCGACCAACTACTGGTCCAGCCTGAAGTGCCGAATGCATCAACGTCGCCGAGACCGAGGACTGCTATGCCGTGTTCTGGAGCCATTGAGTGGTAGGTAGATTGGAGACAAGGAGAAAAAAAGGAAGGGCCCAGGAAAGAAGAAGAGGTACAGACGGGTGATTGGGTCTGGCGTCTATGCAGACTGTTACCATGATAGAGCCTGGCGCGCATGCTAACATGGTGTAAGTGGAATAACTTGATTGATTGATTGATGAAGCAAAGAAATCTATCTTATCTGGCGCATCTGCGGCGTTGTTGTTGTTGTTGTTGTCCGCGGTCCAAATTATTCGGCCAACCTACCCACCGGTGAACAACACGTGATATCGGAAACGGAACAATAAGATTCCATGTGCACGTCCCTGCGTAACCATCACCTGGACACGAGGGGCCACCAGCAGGGTAACATCTCAGTCAATCCTGTACCACTGAGAGCACGGTAGCCTTGGGAGGACTGGTTAGGTTGCCACTTTTACTCTCTTCTCGGAGGGTCAGGCGAGATTGCAGCGGCGGGATTGCCATTTGGTCAACGAGAGTCAAGCCCAGCAGCACAGAAGACTTTGTGTGGTTGCATAGCATACTTCGTGATCGTAGTTTCAACTAAAAAGGAGCGTTCGGATGAGCAAAGGTATCATACCGTGTGGATCAAGCAGACCAACGCCTCCTTCCTGCTCGCCCTCCCATTACCGAAACCACGCTCCCAGAGCCTGACGGGACACACAGGAACATAATGCGTGTCCTCCGCTCCCACCCCCTCGCGTGGACGATGCCCTCGAGGCCAACACGACCTCGATACAACAGCGCAGCCTCTTTTGGGGGCGATTTCACTGCTCGCAGGAGCCTATTGCCTCCCATGACATACCGGGCCCCCCCCCCCCCCCCGGCAGTGTGCACCGCAGCCCTTACTTTTGTTGACCACCTGGCGGTCTGGGTCAGAGCAGCTCATCAGTGGAACGCCCAGAGAGAGAGAAGAGAGAGAGACTCCACTGGATGCCCGAGAGAGGGGAGCGGGGGGGACAAAGGGGAACTCACACGGGTCAGGAGGCAACAACCTCTCGTGAGATGCAAACACCACCCACTGCCGCCACGGTTATTCATCTATGACCATGGTTCTGTCTGACTCAGAGGAACCCTCCATGTCTTGTTCCATTGCCAACCTTTCCTTCTTCCTTTCCGTCTTCTTTTCCGCCACCTCCTTGAAGTAGCCCCTGTTGCGGCCGCGCACCATGACCTCCGTCGACTCCATGCTGCCGATGATCGACCATCCGTTCGAGGTTGTGCCGAACTCGACAGGGTATCCTGCCTGATCGACCAACTTGGCGTACAGGATCATCTCCACTTGGAAGAACTTCTGTGTCTGTCTGTTTATGGTGGCCTTGGTGAACTGTAAGCGCTCGTAGGTGTGTTGCGTGACGCCCTCCTTGGAGGCCCATCTGGCGTCGGCACGATTGACCAAGATGTTGGGGAACTCCTCGCCCTCAGGTGTTGCCGATACTTCGCAGGGATTCAGATCAATGATATCGGGTTCACAAGTCTCATTCTTGACGCGCTTTGCGGTGAATTGAAGCAGCTTTGGCGCGACGCTGAATTCGTATTCCTTGGCGTGCTTGGCTGAGATACCCAGGCCGAAGCCAACAACATAGCCAGAGGTACAGCCGTCGTCGGAGGTGAAAACCAAGTGGTTCGCGGGGTACCAAGGGCGGATGGTGACAGTGCCGGTGGCTGCGAAGTATTGTGTCCGGTGGGTCACCCATTGACCATCCTCGAGAGAGAAGCCGAGCGGGAGGCCCCCCAAAAGTTTGAACTCGGCCTCGACGCCACTTGGACACATGTATGACATGGTGCCCCGAGGTATGAAGGGCAAGAATTCTGGCGTGTCAGGCAAGTAACGCTTGTTCAAAAGAAGACTGAGAGTGGTTGATCTGACCAGTTCCCGCGGATCCACGAAGTGACCATCCTCGACGACATAGACATCGTCCCAGGCGAACTTCAATCCAGGCGACATATCATCCCTCGAGGTGTGGGCGCTGTTTGCATCCACTGGCGCTCGCGGCATACTGCCCGACGACGTTGGAGCGGCGATGCCATCTGGGGTGACGACAGGTTCACGCATGGGATTGTAGCCGCCGCCAAACCCGGCCTGGGCCACCGTGCCTCGGCTCGAGGATGGCTCCGGAAAGTGCAGAAACTCGCCGTCAGACGGCAGTCTCCGCTCCATGATGGTGGGGAAGGGGTATACAGGGCTGGTCCAGGATGGGGGCAAATACATCTGCCCGCGGTACTGGCTGTCCATTAGGAGGTTCATGAGGATGAGAGTGTGGGGAGAAAAGAGATTATGATTGGTGATGGGCAGTGTCTTGAAACTGGTCCGCTTGAGGTAGACGTCTTCAGACGGGATGGACTTGAGGTGTGTGTCTGCTTGAGGGTAGACGTCTTCAAATGGGATGCTCTTTTGTGTTCTGTTGACGGGACTTGTCCAGACCTATTTATCTCCGCGCAACCATCGAGGGAGACAGCCGTTGCTCCGAACGATGGGGCTCTGTCGAGTACAGCTGGCGCCCCAACTTGGGATTAGCGGGCTGTGCGAGGCAAGGGCAAGAAGACGCCTTGAAGTTCGTTGTTCCATGATTCCAGCCTCACGAAGCGATCTTTGTAGAAGAGACCCCGGTCTGGTAGAGTGCTGTGCCCGGCTTGATGGCGAGGATGACACGATTGAGCCTGAGGGGGTCGTTTAGGTGAGGCTCCACAGGTGACCGGCCCATCCCTTGCGGCGAGGTTGGACGCCTCCCTTCCGTGGCCACCACACTTTGGAGATGGCTAGCCGGCTGATCATCCGGGTCTAGGGACTGATGGTCACGCCCATCTCCTGGACATGCTGTGCAGGGCAACTCACAACATGCATTGCTTGAATTTCCACGCCAACCAGGCAGTGTGGTAGGACAGGCGGCTGCAATACGACACAACCAAGCCTCACGTTTCCCAAGCCCCTTCATCCGCCCCCCGGTCGGAGTTCCTGGGCGCATCTCGATCCCAGCCTTTTGACCAGCTTTTGCCCCATCGAGACCAATTCTCGCTGATCAAGTCCAATGCCCGCCAGTTGAGACCAACCCTACTAGCAAGACCAACTTTTGGCCGGCGAAGGTGTCCGTTGCCTTGCCCACCTTTCCAATCAGCCCCAGAGTTGGGCCTCAATGGCCCCCATGCGGGGCACCTGTAGCGTGGTGCGTGGTCCAATGGCAAACTGTTTGACACGTGCGACGGGGCAGTCCTTGGTCTCTTGCCTTTTGTTCGAGGAAGCGCTGCGCAGCCTGGCCTCCCTGCCCGCATGTCTGGGCGGTGTGTGACTCACCAGATTCACCAGATTCACCAGATGCCTCCCTCGCTTCTAGCGCCACTAATTTGCGTTTTTCAATTTATCTTGTTTTCCTGGTGCAGCCTATGACAGGGGTTTACCATGCAGTAGGTGGGCTCCACGCATGTTCGGTCAGTGGTGGTGCACCCATGACGCCAATGGTGGAGATTGTCGAGCTCATCTACCGCAAACCTGTGTTCTGTGGCTGCAGTCATTTCCTGCACCCCGAAACGAGGCATTGTGAACATGACCGATATTTCAGTCTTTGTCTGAAGCCACTTCGCACCACAGCAATACGCTGCTCAAAAAAAAAAGGAGCAAGGTCATTGAGAGTTGGCTCACTGACAGTTGGCTCACCGCCATTTCGCTCACCACCATTTCGCTCACCGCCATTTCGCTCACTGACAGCTGCGGCACTGACAGCTGCTCTGTACCCCGCGTGATGGACGGTATTTGTGCCAAGCCCGCAAGGGGCTCTGTGCAGCCTCAAAAGTTGGTAGTTCGCAAAAGGAGTGGGAAAGGGGGAGCGAGGGGAATGAGATCAGATCAGGGATTGGCCATTGGGGAATGTGGTCGAGGCCGGCGGTGTGTTAAGAGAGGGGCACCAACCAATTAGAAGAAGGAACCCTTGGTCAGTCGTAGTGACTGTGGGTCTGCGGCTCCACACCAATTTGGTCATTGGCTGGAGTCCACCCAATCATCTTCGATCCCCCTTGCTGCCTCTCAAACCTCCTTGACTCTCAAGGTTACGCGAGACATATGGCTGCATCATGTGGCTGGTCTGTGGTTCACCTGGAGACTGGGTTGCACCAGCCTTCCAATCAACCGCACCACTTTTCCCATCCCCATGAGCCCTCATTCCGACGTTGGCTTGCGAGGTGAGAGAGGTGCGTTCCCCTTGCGAAGGGATAGTTGACACACGACACCACCAGTCCCAAACCAGAATGCGCTGAAGCATGTGAAAGCCGGTCGTGGAAGGGAGGTTATTTAGCATGTAATCTCCCGGGGAACGACTTGTAACCCTCTTCCCCTTTAACGCGACCTTCTTGCCCCTTCTACCATTGCCACGTTTCCACTGCCACGTTTCCATGGACACGCTCTTTGTCGACGTCTTGCGCCAACTCAAGCCCACCGCTGCCGCCGACACGAGGAGCCAACAGCCCACAGATCAGAGCCATTTCCGTTGCTTTTCCCTCAAGCCCGGCGCGATGGAAGCGGTTCCTGCGGCTCCTGCTGTACCAGCTCCGAGTATGTGATCTTACTCCCCGAGATTTCTTGCGGTCTATTCTAACGACACTCGAATTAGCGGGTCAAACGCGGTGGCGCCTGCCAGAGGAAATGGGTGCCAAGACGGACAAAACATCCAAGCCCACAGCCGCCCAACGCAAAAGTAAGGTTTTATACTTCTCCGAGCCTCTCGACAGCCTCCTTGACGAGCCTTTCTGACATTGTTGTCCAAGCCGCCCGGCAAAACACGGCCCAGACTGGCCGGTCGAGTATCAGTAGGCCATCCCCATTTCCGTGACCCTCTGGCTCCTCGAAGCACTGCATGGGCCGTACTGACCGTGCATCCTCAGCAGTTGAATCAACCACGCCTGCGTCAAAACCACCTGCGTCAACAATGCCCGGGCCAACCACGCCTGCACCAACCCAGACTCCCGCAACAAAGCCTGCGTCAACAATGCCTGTGTCGACCATGCCTCCGTCCACACCGCCTGCCCCAACCAAGGTTGCTGCAACAAAGGCTGCGAAAACTTCTACTCCGAGGAAGACTGCGAAGCGCTCAGCTTCCGCTAACGAAAAAGAGACACCAAAACGGGCCCGCCTCACGCGCGGCAACACCGGGGACTCTGCCACCGTGACCCCCGAGGTGCTGCCCGACGCCTCCGCCGAAGACCAGACCGGCATCCTGAACAGAAACAATGGCCTGTGCCTGCACTGCGAGGCGTACAATGAGGTGGCTAAAGACATGTGGCAGAGCACAGCGGACACGTGTGGTGGCGGCCAACAAGCCAAGGGGCAGACACCTGGAGAAGCGTGCCAGACCTGCCAAGAAAAGGGTCTGCCATGCAGCTTCGAAGATGCCCGCATCGACGAGGGGGAGAGCAACACCGGGAAGCAGTACGAGAGGGCGAAGCGGCTCGCCAAGCGAGAGCTGGCGCTCCTGAAAAAGGTCGAGGACATGCAAACCGAGTTGAACAAACTCAACGACGATGCGGATGAGGACGTGTTGATGAACCGGAGGTACGGCGACACATTGAGAAAAACCAAACAAGAGGCCATGAAATCAGCCATGGTCGAGGTCGACAAGTACAAGGCCGACAAAATCATGGCGATCGATGCCGAGCTCCATGAACACAGAATCAGCACTTCGGCACGGTTCACCATCGATCTTGAGAAACAAAACGCTGCCATGAAAGCCACGTGGGAGGCTAAGATCAACACAGAGATGCAAGCCGAACGGAGCAAACGCATGCAACAGTTGTCTGACGATATGGAGCAGCAGAGGAAGGTGACGCTCCAAGACGAGAAAGACCTTCTTGCCTCGAGGAAGAAGAAGGAGGCCGATCTCGACACGGAGTTCTCCCTCAAGCGGGAGCAGAGGGAGCTCGACCTCCAGAAATTGATGTCTTCCAAGGAAACGCAGTTGATGACCGAATTTGACACGAAGCGGGTGCAGCAGAACTTGGATCTCGAGAAATGGAAACACACAGAGATGACGGCGATCAACGAGTGCGTGGAGAAAGAAAGAGCCAAAAGATTCGCCGCGGTGACGCAAGAGCTCAATGGCCTTATCGTGTCAGTCAAAGCTCGGGAGGTCGAGGTCATGCACGGAGTTCAGAAGCAGTTTGAGACCTGGAAGAATCAGTACGCCCTTCAACTGCGGAATGTGTTCGAATCCAGCAAGGCCCTGATGAAGGCAGAGGTGAATGCCGAGGTCTTGTCACAGGTCGAGAACCTGAGGGGCACCATCACCGCCGAGGTGAATAACAAGAGCCATATCGAGAAGCTGAGCAAGGGTGTTAACAACATGATGGCCCAGATGGCGACACAGGAGGAAAGCCACAAGACACAGATGGCGGAGATGAGGAGCCAGATGGAAAACCAGATCCAGCTCAACACGCCCGTGTCTGCTACCCTCGGGGAGGGCAACGACGGGTTCTCGACACAGCAGGTGCCACACGCAACATTCGACATGTACCCGGGCCTCCACCCACGACAAGTCAATTCGTCGACCTTCACCGAGGCCAGTCTCCCAACGAAAGCTCCCACCAATGAGTCGACCAGCGCTCAGTATGGTAGCAGCAGCACGACTGGGGATGAGGGTGTTTCTTCCGACGTTGTTCCATCCAACTCCACGCCAACCAACGCTGCTGCGAAGGGTTCGCCTACACCAACGTCTAGTGGCACGGACTCCCAGGAGCAGCAGTCCATGTCGTCTGGAGGAGTCTCCCACAATGCGGCTCCCTACCCCAACTACCCCGTGAACAACGGAGTTGCCGGGCAGTCACCATACCCTCTGTGGGTGCCGAATCCGCAGGCTCCGTGGAGTTCGCCGTTGAGTACTTCGTACAACTATCAACAGCAGTACTATGGTCAAAGCCAATACTATGATCAGTATCAGTACTATGGTCATCCCCAATACCACCCGGGGCCGCAACAGTAAGGTAAGTTCCCCTCATCACACATCCCGGAGGACAAGGTCAAGGCACGCAGCCCTTGTTCTCGTGGGTCCGATACAAGATGTCTGACTGACAGTGGTGCCCGTAGGTTCAGAATGAGAGTTTGAGGAGGCAAAAGGCAAATTGAAAGCTTGAGAAGACAAAGTGAAAGTTTGAGGATGCAAATTGAAATTTGACGAGGCAAAGAAGGACAGAATGCTCATTTAGGGGTGTTAGGGGGACATTGCACCAGCCATTCCTTCTAGGGTCTGAGGAAAAAAAGAGAGGATGACCATGGCCGGAGAGCCGATACCCAGGCGCAGTCTACTGTGCGGCGTTGCTTGTGCTTTTTCCTCTGTAGACCGGCCAACCATTTCATAGTATTGATAATCCACGCATTTCATGACACCTGAGCAGCAGATTAGTTGGTGTGTCCGGACCAGCACAGGCAGAGAGCAGCACTCACGATCCATAATGTCTTCGAAAGTTCCCGCAGAGCCGATGGCCGGGCGCAGTCTATGGTGCGGCGGTGCTTGTACTTTCCATTGGAGACTGGCCAACCATTTCATAGTAGGGATGAGACACACATTTCATGATCTCTGGGTCGCAGATTAGTTGGTGTGTGTCTGGAATAACCAAAAGGGAAGGGGGGGGGGGGGGGCAAGAGAGCAAACTCACGGTCAATGATGTCTCCCTCCCATATACCCCTTTCGCAATCGACCAGTCCTTTTGGCTCCAACTTGTCGCTGTGTCTGAGGGCAACGCTCGCCATCTCCTCCAGATTCTCGACAGAAAGTAGATTCTCGGGCCTGACGTCCGGACGGAGGGGAGAGAAATACTGCCTGAGCGCCAGATCGTTGAGCCAGATGAATTCACTCTGGAACTCTTTCACACCGGCCAGTCCCAGATCAAAGAGCTTGAGACTCTCCGACCCCATGATCTTCGACTCCGCCCTATCGAAGAGGGTCCCCAGCACCTGCGCCGTCTCTCTCGCCATCGTCTCGTCGACTGCTCCCCCCATAGATGAGCCAGAAAGAGCGAGCAGAGTCTCCCCCAACAGTTTGCACCGGCGTTGCAGAGGGTGCGTCGAGGTCTCGGACCCGAAAAGAAGTACGGCTAGTGGCGTGGGCGGCGAGACGCCTTCGCCCGACACCCAAGGGCCAAGGCTGACCAGTTTCTGACCCAACACCTCCGACACCTTCTTGGTAACAGCGTGATGTTGCGGCGAGAATAGCTCTCGGCCTGTCCACAGCCCGATCAGCATGCAGGCCATAGCGTCACTCATCAGGTCGTTTTGACCATTGAGAAGGGTCAGCCAGGAGTAGTTGACTTGGCCCCACAGATACTCGGCCTTCTGCGACATTCCCTGGTCTTCCCGATCCGTGGCGTCTACCACCGGCTCAGTTCCTGTGACGGGGAAACACGATTAGTTGCCAGCCAAAACAGAAGAAGAGGAGGGCGAGAAAGGAAATGTCCGCCGACGCACCAACATCAGTGTAGTTGATCAACCGGTCCGTGAATGTCAACAGCTTTTCGCGTGCAGCTACCAGCTCATTGGACAGATTGTGCGAATTGATTTCGCCAATCGCAATGCCGTAGGTTGCAAAGTTGTCATCCACCGACTCCAAGTCCTCTTCTTGGTCTGTCTGGTCACCAGCAACCTGTGTGTCTTCCTGCTCGTTCACTTCATTCTCGACGACCTCTCCCAGCCGGCTCACTTCTCTCAGGGTGACCGTTCCCTCCTCCACGTTCACATTCGCGATCATCATATTTCTGGTCATCACTCCGTGGTCGCTCACTATTCTCTGGGTGATCACTCCCTCCGCGTGGTTAACTACAGTCTCGATGAGCACTCCATGCCCGCCCTCTTCATCCTCGGTCTCTTCATTCTGGGTGATCACTCCCTCCTCGTTCACTTCATTCTGGATGATCGCTCCCTGCTGGACCGCTCTGTGGTCGGTCATGTTCGACGGGGTTTCGCCGGCGGTGGGATTGCTCGTCGGGAGCAATGGTGGCTGCGGTGGTGGGACGGATGTTGGTTGTGGTGGTGGTGGGTCTCCCTCGCGGTCGAGGAATGGCACCATTTCACCTCCGGCAAGCCTCCAATGACCTCGAACAAACTCGTCATTTTTCCACATCCTGGACTGCTGGACAACTTGATTGACTGATTGATCGATCGATTAGGCAGGCAAATCTGTCTCTCACGCCTGCGGATTTGTTAGGTGTGGTGGTGGAAGGTGGTGGAAATTATTTGGCCAACTTACTTGACAGGGCGTTCTGAGGGACGGCCTATGTAGATAGGCAGAGAGAGGGTGGCGATGGGAAACAGGTAGGTAGAAATATTGCTTGAGAGTATATCTGAACCAAGACTGAAAGCATGAAGGAAGGAAAGGGAAGCTTCCCTGAGACGGTGAGCAGGCGGTCCTTAAATAGGAAGGGGCTGTCATGTGGGCGGTGTGCTGGGCTGTTCGGTGACACAAGGTACTCGTTTTGACACGTGTACGGCCACCCCCTCGTGTGGAACGCCCCGCATAGCCTCTCGGGCGCGACCGAGTATCTGACCACCATCAGGATGGAGGCTGTGATACACTGCGAGTCCGTGCTCACCGGGTCATACGCGATCCCCCCCCCCCATGATCCTGTTGATCGCGGCCTTTTTGTAGAACGGAGTCTCGTTCGAGATGATGATCGAGCGTTGCCAACCATGTCCGGCGTAAATCTGACCCTCTCATCCTTCCTTCTCAGCAAGTCTTTACCGGCCAAGATCTACGCTTCAGAACAAGGGAGTAGCTCTCCCAGGACTCCAAGAAGATGCCTTTCCTGTCCAGGTCCGACAATACGCATCAGCGCATCCTGATGTACCACCAACGCCAAGTTCTAGGCAGTCTTTTGTCACCCACCACAGCCTCTTTGGCTAACAGACTCTCTCCAGTTGTACATGAAGATGATGTATCTGTGTCTATACCGGCATCTATATCTGTACGTCCATCTTCATATCCATCGCCATGCCTGTCTTCATGTCTACATCTATAGATCTGGTACACACATCGATCAAATGATCGTGGGGACTCACAATGGACACATTCATGTCTTCGCTTTGCCGACCTCCCTGCGCGCGTATCATCGCTAACTTGATCCCCAAGCATCCTCAACTGCGGCCTTGACTCAATACCTTATCGTCCTTTACAGGGAGACTTCCATCTCGGACTCCTACCAAGCCATCCTTCCACCGCGAGATCAACGCTACAGAGAGCGCACTTGCGGTACCCCTTCCTTCATTGTGCGTCCAACATGTTTTAACTCGACGACAGATCGCGGCAACCCCAATTTCGGAGCCTGCGCCTCCTCCTGGCCAGCCCAACCCCATCACCGCTTGAATGAGATCCTGGACCAGCTAAGAGCCGAATTCGATAATCAGTCCTCCTCACATTATCGATCCACTGCACTCCAGCCAGCCTTGGATTGTCTTCTCTGGCCCCTGGCTGGCGCCGTTCCCCTTCAGACACTTTTGGATCTCCTGTTCAAAGACGTATAATCAGATTTTGTGACCTGGACGTGGTGGTTCGGACGTGGTGGTTCGGAAAATCATGCCGACCGAGTTCTTCCTCGTTGGGTGCCGTCGCCCGACTCTGTCATACTGTAACTTGACCAGAATCCGGTCCACGGCATCTTCTGTCCAAGTTGGCGGATGACTTCCTACTCAAGAGAAGCTGCGCCAAATCAGATGCGATTGTCCCGACAACAAGTGAGACCACCGAGTATAGAAGTGATGCTGAGGAGTGGTCACTGCCCGGAAGCAATGACGGCAAAGGACAGAATTGTCGCTCTGGACAAAAGAAAATGTGAAAAAGAATGAAAAAAACTTGACTTTTCCACCTCATTCACCCATTTCATTCAGTGTCACGTCTCCCCTCAACCTCTCGGCACACACATCTTTAGCAAAAGGCAAGCGGTCAACGGCTTACTCGTAAACTTTCGCCAAACGCCGCGCCCGTTCAACTCGTGATACCTCTGCCCCGACAGTTGAACTCTTATTCTCGTCCGAAACCGGGGAACTTCCCGGCTGTGAGTCAATGAACCCTGCGTAACTCGACGCGACCAAGAGAGCAAGCCCTGGATGGCCAACATGGCGTGAGGTGGTGCCAGCCAGCCTTCTCACGACCTGGGTGCCGTCCATGTCCGGCACCAGTGCGACCACAGCCTTGACCCGTCGATCGGTGGCCGCCACATACACGGCCTCAGCGGCAGAGAGGGAAATACCCCCACAGGGCAATGTTAGACCTGTCGACCTCCTCCCTGGTCTGTGCGTATGTGATGGCGTCGCGCATGTCGTTACTCTGCAGCCAGGTTATGACCTCCCAGAAGTCTGGGTTGGCCAGGGCCAGTCAGTATCCGAAGATCCGAACCTTCGATGGTCGTATGCCAGACAAGTGATGTGAAGTTCCTCGGCGAACATTGTTGCCCACCTCTGACAAGCCCATCTCTTTGACACATGACAAGTCGAGGGTAAGGTGCCGGCCGAGCTTGTGCTTGTAGCCCTTCCGATCAGGATGGGTATGAGAACGATCGGCACGCGAAGTAGTGGTGGACGAGGTCGTGCTCACAGTGTGTCGTAAGTACGAACTGGCAGTCGGTCGACCAAGGACTTTGGTGCGCGCCATCTGCGGCGTCGAATCCTCGAGCGGAGAGCCAAAAGGATTTGAACCAAGCAAAGGGACAGCAAGAAGATCTGGGCGACCTCAACCCCCGGAGCGTAAACTTCATGCACACCCTTCTTCAATCCATCGTCGACAACCTCGAACAGTGTAGCAAATTGATCTCAAGACCTCTCTTTGCGAGGTATCGAAGAGAGGTGTCGAAGAGAGGTATCGGTGAAGGGTAGCGACGGCGAGGCGTCTCCAATGCCTACGGATTAACCTGCGTGATTCGACGCGACCAACAGAGGAACACGTACCATGTCTTTGGGGTCGAAAGCGGATCGGACAGCCATGTCTGCGAGAGTTCTGCAGCGAAACTGCGACGGCATGTTGAAGATGCTTCTGGCTGAGCTGTCGATGAATCTTGGTGAGCTCGGTCGCCGCGACCATTGCGTCTCGCTTCTCTGCCGCCAGAAATCCGCACCACATCATCCATCGCCGACTAACTTCCCTACCCCGGACCTGTTCTCCCTGAAGCTCACCGACCGACACGTCCTTCGCGGCGCTGGTCGGGCTGCCGAAACTCACCGTCAAGTTGTGCGCGTCAGCTGGTTCCAGGTCCCGCTACGCCCGGCGTCTGCCCGTCCGTGCCCACGAGCACCAAGCTGTCCTTCAGGACGGATGGATGAGCTGTTCGTGGCGAACCCGGAGGTGAAATGCCATTCTGCGACGTCGACGGCGTCACCTGGAATGCGCGGACCGCCGCCGAACCCAAAGTCGCCCTGGGGGATTCTCCGACGGACATGGTAATCTTCTTCCTCCCCTGGCAAGGTTGCTGGATGGATGCGGCTCTCGTTGGCATCGATCCCGTACACCTTGACCCTAATTGCGTAAGATCCCAGTCCTCCACCCCTCCCCCGTCTCACCCATTCAACTAGGCCGGCACCGGCAGAGTTTTGACCTGCCTGGAAACCAGTCTTGTCCAGTTGATTACCCAGTCACCCAGTGTCCCTGGACTTGGCCCCTGGGCTCCAGCTCGGTTGGAAGAGAAGACGGCTTTTCGTACCGAGCGAGTTACGCACTTTGAATTTTGTTTCCCCCCCTTCCCTTCAGCCGGTGGATCAGCATATCTCGAACTCGAAAGCCCCCTTCGGGGCCCAAACCATCTTCTTGTTCCTACATGCTCCGCCATAAAGTTGCCGTGGCTCTGTACAGGGGCCGAAGCCGTTGCCGAGAACCACATCCATTCTCGCCCAATGCGCAGCTGATGAGCGCATCTGTCGAATTCGCTCCATTGGCGACCCGTGTCCGGCGGTGCTTCTTCTTTTTTTCGAAGCCTTTGGGTTTTTGCCCATGTTGTAGACACGCGGTGTTTGAAGCTTGCCTTGTTTACGTGGCGTTCGTTGTGATGTCGCACAAGCCGGATTCGAGTCGTTGTCATTTTGACATTGACCGAGCTCTGATTGTCACTTGACATATTGCCCAAGGCTTCTCGGGATCACAAACTCAGATATATAGCACGTTGTTTGTGCTGAGCTCGCCCAAAGGATTTTGAAATGAGAGAGCCAAGGTGGTCCCGCCAAATCAAGGTGGAGGACAAGCTGTGGGCTGATATAAAGAAAGGCCTGCCGGTAAGTCCCACGCGTGGATTCCGAACTGACCCTGCTTTTCGAGCCTGCAGCGCTTTTGTGTCGACCACTGCAGATTCTTCGCTCGAGATTGCGAATGATCGTCCTCGGAGACGCCTCCGTCACGGCAAGGGATACCTGTATGTTTGAAAAAGTGGTGTTCCCCGCCCTCTTTCATCGTGCGGATGCTCCAGAAGCAAAGGACAGAGATTAGGCACCTGAGAAGCATCAGGATCTATACTTTTCGAGCTGGAGAACGCGACGGGTGTGCACGGGATCTGGGGCATGCTCTGATTGACACATGGACAGAGACATGGCATTGGACAATGTCATGGTCGAGGTTCGCTTCTCGCCATTGTTCGCCATACGAGGGCAGAAGCGGGCTGCTTGGGCCGATAGGAGACCTAATCCTGCCTCCGCGCAAAATAACAGGCAGAAAGTTCCGAAGAGATTGGTAGTCACATCATCGCGGTGACTTCTTCGTCCTCATTCGATAGATGTAGCTGCTGGTCAAGAGTTGGCTCGCGTTGTCGTCTTTTTTCCATTTCAGTTTCGACTATATGTGTTGATTTTCAGCTTTCCGTAGGCAAGAGAGCCAGACTCTTCTGTCGACTCTTGATTGCTCGTGGATTTGTTAAAGAAAGATTGATCGTTTTCCCGCAGATCGACGAGTAGGACGAAGCCCTGCGCCACGTCGTATTCGTGACATGATCTGACAAGGCCTTCAAGGGCCTTGGGCGTTTCAAACTCACCTCAAAAAACCACCGCCGCAATCATCGCCGGTTCGGATTTTGCAAATTCGAGGAGTCGAAAGACGCATTGTGTTTGACGTGCTTCTTTGTCGAAACGTACCGGTCAGTCCGTTGTTGGCTGCTGTGAGGGTTTAGAAAGAGTTCTGCAACTAGTTAGCCAACCTAGTAATAAGGAGGATAAATTTGAGGAGAGAGGAAGAAGGAATAACATCCTTTCTCTCTCTCCTTATATCGTACGCTCCTCTGTAAGGGATACCCATTGTCTTCCTCTTCCGTACACGCCCTACATTACCCCTTGCACCTTTGTTTCTCTCCCTTGCCTTTCCTTACGTACGGTGTCTCAGTTGCTACCGTGCGTGTCTCAGAGGTGGCGTTAGTCCTGGCGTTAGTCTTGGAGCTGGTTCGCCAGAACCAGGCCTATTCCTGGGTCCAACCCATGACAGCTGCCACCATGAGCTGGCAGTAGTAGTTTGGTTACAAGGAGAGAAGGTGTGGAAGATACACGCTCGAAAGAGTGAGTCATGTACTCGCCCATTCATGACTATTCTTGTCGCTTTCAAGCCCCTGGACAGCATTGCTACCCATTTCCTGACCCCGGAAGGGGTATTGGTCTCGCGGGTTTCCCGGGCACCGATGATTCTAGGTCTGTAATGCCGCATTTACCTCGATGGGTCGATGCCTCGCATGCCCTTCGTCAGGGCGTTCTTGAAGTCGTCGATAGTTGTCCCACTCGATGGTCCGCCGCGGCGAGCGCGCGTGCAAGATGACACCATGAGAAAGAACAGGCTGATATTTCTTGGTTGGAGACGGGATTCGTAAAGTAGGGGGACCAGTAGACGGGCTTGTTGCTTGCGATATATCAACCCATACTGGACCTTGCAAGTTTCCCATGTCCGCCCTGAGGTCTTGTCCGTCTCCCGGAGCAGAGTATGAGCCGCTTCAGGGACTTGAAGCGCGCGCCGCAGCGGCAGCAGCACCACCGTAGTCGTGGACATATATCCCACACGAACCTGTCGACTCTGCGTCGAAGAAGCTCTTGCTCTCCGCTCGATGCAGACACGCAGCCGCAGCCTCTGCAGGCGATGGTCAGGTACGTCTTCCACATGGGCAAGCTCGCCTGTTGTTGTAGTAGATGTCCCCACAGCCGAAGTAGAAGCTGTCGAGCTTCCTGTTCCCGAAGTAAAAGGCGTGGTGGTGGTGGTGGTGGTGGTGGTTAGAGGGTGCTCAGTGTGGTCGAATCGGTCGTGAAGAGTTTTTGTCCAGCTGTCATCCTTGCGAAGAGCAGAGGGTCTTCTTCGTCAACACTGTCTTCCACGCCTTTTGCTCGATCCGCCTACAATTTCCAAGGCGCTACCGTCAAATGGAAACTCGACACGTCAATGTCCCTTGCCATCTTGACAATCTCGTGGCTCGTCGTCCAATGCTTTTTCTGGCGGCTATAAACCGGAGTTGGATGAAACATACTTGCTGCCCATCGACGTCGCAGTGGTGGTGAACAGAGGAGAATCGTCTGCTGGTCAAATCTGCCAGCCTTTGGCCTCATATGCGCCCGGTGCATAACCTGGCCGAGGGACTTGATCTATCTTCGGAACAGTCCTCCTCTTGGCCCAGCATTTGAAGCGTTCAATTTATTGGGCGCGTGTTCGAGGCACTCCTGGCGACGACGGCGGTCCGAAGGAGAAGGTTTAGTCTTGTTCGATAGTGTCTCGCGTTGTTGGCCTGGGGGAAATTGAAAACGTGTCATCACCGACACGGATGAGAGGAAAACGTACATAATGTGACCAGCTAAGATCGTGTAGACCCCATAGCTGTCCCTGCTCACCCGGCCAACTGCTTCACTTGGGCCAAGACCAAAGTTTACGACGACGGCGGGAGATTGAACCTCGCGAGGCCAGAAGAAGTCGCTGATCGATAACGATCTCGAGGCTGCACTAAAGAGCGAAGAGGAGCAAGCAAAATCGTATGGCAGCCACTCGAGAGAGACTGCACTCGAGAGACACTTTGAGACATTGAGAGACCGCCTCTATGATGAAAAGAATTGCCGTCAGAAAAACGTCAATCGGGAGGAGGCCTGCCGCCCACATTCGGACGCTCCTTTACCCAATGTGAAGAGAATATCAACACAGAAGCAAAAGAGCAGCTATAGGAGCCCGCGAAGGGTATGCTTAGACGAGATTGTAGATCACACAGAAGGAAAAGGATTTCCAGCTGGCTCGCGGACGACCTCCCCCCCGAGACCAACTGGACCATGTTTTGGACGACGCCGGGCGGTTTTTTTTTTTTGATGGCAACTTCTAGGAATTGCGTGTCTAGGAACGGCACACGAGCTTCGACACCCTACGCCGGAATTGTCTGTGATCCCCATGACTGCGGACCGGTTGGGACTATTTGCTGTACAAGAACGATCGGTATGTTCGAGGCCAGCTCGAAAAACAATACGGGACCGTCTTCTCAACTTGGTTGCTGATGGGTGGTCATGAGGGTCAAGGCGATGGGAGGGTCAAGTCGATGGGAAGGTCAAGTCGATGATGGGTGGGCCGATGAAATCGACCTAGTTGATGTTGGCGTATAGTTAGTTGGTCGCTATTGAATGTGAAATCGGCAAAGCCGGGCTTTGAAATGGACTCACTTGCCCACCTGGCCGGGAATCGTCTCAAGTCTAGCTGGTGATGAAGATCTGGACACTTTTCCGTCCATTGGCATGAGTGGCGTGAGGTTCTTCGTGGCCGCTCGACGAGGTAGACGCCCAGAGTCACCCAGAGGCGCCTTGCAAAGAGACTGGAGCAAACGTCATTGCCAACAAAAGGTGCGAAAGGAAGGCACATTATGAGAGAGCCTTTCCAGCGATTCATGATTGATGAGTTAGGCCTTGTTCTGACGCTGGCCTCCCTGATGTACCGCAAATGCCAGGCGGATATGGCCACTCTTCCAAGATGCAATATTGCTCTGACCAAGAACCTCAGAAGTGCTGCAGCTGCGGTCGGGTTTGGATTGACACCGACGCCGGAAGTAGTCTTCTCGACATAATTTCCCAGTTGTAGAGGCATGCTGCCTTTCGCCTTTTGGTCGAACTCTGCCCTTCCCAATGAACGTGACGTACAACCCTCGCAGACTCCAAATAGGGCAGCCATCACTGCCGCTCCAAAGCTGGCTCCTACATGCTTTTCCAATGCCTCTTTATTCCCTACCGTTGAGATGTTCGAGCTGCGGGACGAATCTGGAAGCGCTGGACTGAGGACAAATGGAGATTCGACCATGGCGGCGAGGTTGTAGAGGTGCGCCCGATCGGAGCGGTGGGCGCACTTTGCGTGCAGGTCGTATGTCGACGACGACGACTCATCCGCGGTGCCCAAGACCAGCTCGTTCAGCCGGTCGCACAAGTGTTGGGTGTATTTCACATAGGTCTCTTGGTAGGTCTCTACACTGAGGAAGCCGGGGACGCCGTACCACCAGGAGCAGTAGTCTTCCCAGCCCAAAGCTAAAGATACTTTGATGTAACACGATATGTTCCAAGTCTTTCGTTGTCCAGAAGGGATGGTCAACCGATGAAAAATTCATATTGCGTTCGGCAAACACGACCTGAGGAGGACAATCATCGGCATTGGGGATATGTCTCCTTCGATTTCTCGAGTCTAGAGAGGTAGAGAGGTAGACTTGAGCGGCGCCGGGTGTGCAGCCAAGAGATATATCCCGGACTATCCCAGCATGGAAAAATTCAAGGGAATTATGCACCATTCTTCATTCTGGCCCCCCGGAGTGCGTTGATGCTCGCGGTAAGAACGTTGCCGTTGTTCCTCACATATCGTCCATGGAGGATGCCGCCGCGGACCAGTCGAAGCCGCTGGGAGATTTGATGGTTCGACTTGGGGATGTTCGTCCCGAGGAAGATGTTGGATACGTGGCGATCGGGGTCCTCGATGGTAAGCAAGCGGTGCAGAAGCTGAGTATGAAGAGGGATTGTGCTTAATTTGGAGAAGCGGACTCTACATATCCGCTACTAATGATAAAGGATACGTCCGTTCAGCGTAGAAGTTAGAAGCTACGAATAACAAGTGCTCGCTAGGCACAGGCTCCAGTGGGGAGCTAGTTGGAACGAACATGCCTCCACTGTAAATCGGATGCAGCAAAGGCCGTCCGCAAAATTGCATTCTCGGTTCCAGAAAGTAGGAGTCGTCTCTTCAGACAGTGTGTCCTGATGTACAGCTGTAGTCTGTGTCATATCCAAAGCAGCTGCGAGGTAACAATGCTGACGTTGGCATCAAAGCCCAAATTCGTCAGGAGACCAGCTTCGGCGCCATGGAAAGCAGCAAGGCCACGTTCTGCGTCGAGGAACCACTCCCACCCTGTGTCTCCTTCCAACGTCTTCTTGTTGAGTCGGAGCCGGAGCTTGAGCTCCCAGCCGCTGCAGCCAATATGGATTCGTCTTTGTCTTGTTTGACACTGATTTTGCGATTAGAGAGATATCTGCCGTTTTCTTCTCTGCCGCTATCATTGCCGGTGCTTTTCAGTGGCCTCCTCGCGTACGCAATTGCTCACACACATGCAGACCCCTTCAGGCAGTTCTCCATGCACCATCGGGCATAACACGGCGTGTCGGGCTTTACCACCACGTTCTTCCCCCGCCGATATCATGTCCGGGTTTCGAAGCGAGTCTACAACCTCTCCGTCTGGACCCGGTGTTTGATCTATGTTGCACACCGCTCGCTTTGGCAATCGCAGTTCCCATCATTGTTGGGGGCTACAGTCACGGGAAGGAAATAAATGTCAGTCCTCACTTCTTTGATGCCCAACGTAGGCAGTAATAGGCCAAGGACAAGTGGACAGACACGACCATGTCACGGATACACTTTGAATGCATCGAAATGCAGCGAGTGGTATGGTACGATCGAAAAGAAAAGGGCGTCATTGACTCACGTCCTGAGCAAAGTGGAATCTTGGTCGTATTCTTATCAAAAAAAGAGAGAAAGAAAAAGACCTTTGTGTCATTAATCACATATTGAATCCGCCGCCATCATGGTCCGAGAGCTCGTGTCCCAGGCGCATGATGCACATCCAACGACAACCCGATCCAGTTCTTCGAACTCCCAGTCATGTAAGGTCTGGGTCAATAGATTCCCACGTAAAGAATTGGGACGGGTGAATTCACTTTCTTGCTCGCCGTCTTCTCCGAGCTCCCCAAGTCCATCGACTTTCTCCACTGATCGGGCTCTGTGAATGCGTATGAATTGTGACTCGGTACTCGGTATTGCCGTCTATCTATCTGGTCTCAGTACGAATAGCAAGTAAAGGTCTGCTGCGGCCCTTGGTTCGTCAAGGATAGCACGAGCCACGCCATTGTCCGACTTCTGCTGTCCGCCACCGACTCCGTCGTTGTACAACAAATGTCATAACAACGTCGTCTTCATGCTCATGCTCGTGATGCCACGGAGTAAAAAGCCTCTCTTGCTCAGAAGTTTCAAAAACCTCAACAGTCTTCTCTCTTTTCACCGTCGATCTGTCTCACGACCGGGGGCTGGATCCTCCGCCTGGGGGGCCGCCAACGGTGTCCTGGCCTTGAACTTGTCTCACTTGAAAGTGAAAACGTAAATGATCAATCGCCCCGAGCGCATGGGTTAAGATGGGCTGTGCTAAACGTGCGTCCTAGCTTCCCTCTCGCTCGGTCGCCCAAACCCCCAACTCACAGCGTTACCCAAGCAATCGGCCTGCCGGACACCGTCGTCGCCGACAAGTTTTGTGAACCGACTCTGCAGCAAATGGGGTCTGGTTGGTTGGTCTCGCTTTCTCGCAACTCAACACCATTCAAACCCACTCCAAAGAGAAGCGAATCCCGTGCCAAACTAAGCAGAAAGACACACCACCAACCCCTACAAGGCTACTAGGCAGGTACTAGACCCTTTTTTCTCTCTCATCTGCCGCTCCCTCTTGGTCTTGTGCTGGTGCCCCGTACCTACCGTAGAAGACAATGACGGACAGGGAGGTGACCGCCTTGCCGATTCTCCACGTGAAGTCGAGCTTCTGGTCGTTGCTGAGCGGGGCCAGGATGGTGGTGTCCAAGATCTTCTCGTCGACGTTCGACCCGAACGTGATGCGGGCAAGTAAAGGGGTACGGCGTTCTGATCGGCGACGTGACCAAGGTGTAGATTCTGTCGTACTCCGCCCCCCCTTGGCCGGGTTCTTGATCACGAGCCGGTGCGGCCTGTAGTCGGGCCAGTGCTCGGTCGACCCAGATCATCAACCCTGTGCGTGCCGATGCAGATGCTCGGGGCTATGCTGGGGCATCTGGTCGGCGACCCTCTTCGAAATCGCGTAGATCTCCTTCAACGCCCGTGAGTAGTTGACCGGGGCGTTGAACTTGGTCGTCTTCAGCCCCTCGCCCGAGGCGATCTCCGAGTACAACTGCGCCCACGACGCCACGCTCCTCCAATAGATGTAGAACATGGTCCCGTCCGTGATGACACGCCTCCTCCTCACCACCTGACTGATGAAGGCCCCGTGCTCGGGGTCGAGTTCGAGCGTCAACGCGCCACAGGGCGGGAAGTCGTCCCTCTGCCAGACCACGTCCCCCTCGTCGACCACGTTGGCATCAGTCTCGTCGGTCCCCCGCGTGATCATGTTCGTCGGCTCGCGCCTACTCGTCTTGGTCTCCGAGTCCGGGCACACCGCCAGATGTCTAGGCACACAGGAACCTGAAGACCACCACCAACGCGATTACCGAGAAGCAGGAGATAAACGAGATCACCGAGGTGTACATGACGCCGATCCCATGCACCAACACGGACCTGAGCATGAACAGGATCGTGAACAAGCTCAGCAACGTACACGTCATCCGGTTGACGAGCGTGGGTGGTACATCACCTCGACCTGGATCGACGACGTGATCATGTTCGATAACGACGACCCGTGCGTGGATCATAAACATCTCATTCAAAATAGAAGGAAGAAGAACGACAAAATCATCCTATACCCAGACATCAACATCACCAAGCCCCCGGCGCGTGTCGCCGAACCTCTGAGAGACACGGACAACCCCGAGAGTGTGGTGGACAAGGTCACATCCAAATTGCCAATTACTAGCATAGCAATCTCGTCATCCCATGCATGCATGCAGCAGCAGCAGCAGCAGCAACCGCAACGTCAATGGAGGAGGCCAGGCCCGCAAAAGTGTCATCTTCCAGCTATCGGATTAGCTTCGGGATGTTCGACGACTTTGATGCCCGTTTTCCCTTGTCATGGTCCTGTTCGTTCTCATCGTTCTCATCGTCACCAGCTTCTGTGTGTCCTGTTCCGGTGTTGGTCGGGTAGGGTAGGATTGATGACCCTGTTGAACCAACCAGCCTTTCCACAAGTCCTCTCTGCATTGTCTCGACGATGCCCACCGCCTCGTGCAACTTGACTCTTTGCCTCGTCCAGTAGGCCCCATGCGAAGTCGCGGAGAGGTGCCCAGCAGCGACACCGAACCGGGCACTGCTGGAGGTGCCGCGGCATATATGATGCATTTTGAACATGGGTAGGAACAAGTTGGAGGGTGATGGTGACCCCAAAGTCTCCAGCTGCCGACGTTGGAGTCCAACACCAAGAACAAGGGTGTGACGACGGTGAGCCCGGACACCAGGAGGCATAGGAGCCACCACAGGAGGACCTACGCGCACGAGTACGACAGCAGCGACAGCGAGTCCTTCTGGAACGGCACCGAGAGGAGGGGTGCGCAACCAGACTCGAAGACAAGCAAAGAACGGCATCAACTGGATGAATGTCATTAGATTCATAGCGATATAGAGCTAATAGAGCTAATAGAGCTATCTATATGCGAATAACTGCGACTTGAAAACCCGACCACGAAGGCGCGGGAGAAAGCGGGATACGAAGCCGCATCTCCACGGGTCAACAAGCATGTGAACATCTATGTGTCCGACGGCACCACTAGGTACACCCTCCACTGCTCCACGTCGAGGAACTCCGAGATCTCCTTCGCCTCCACCTCCTTAGTTTTGTTGGTGCGCGGCCAGAAGCACGGAAGGATCTACGAGCTCAGTCTCGATTGTTGGGGTCATGATGGACTTGTCCATGCCGAAGAAGTTCGAGATCATCTCCATCTCCATGTCCATGGACATACCGTACGGGTGAACGCAGGCAGCCTTGACATCGGGCGTGAACATGCGTCTGAAAGCGAAGATGTTGATGTAGGCTCCCGGGTTCGGGAAGGTCGTCTTTCTGAAGCGCTTGCCTGTGCGGCGAATCTTGTTCATCGCCAGGTCGTTGAAGGTGAAGCCGTTTCTGTCCGCGTAATTGGTTAGACCGTCCAGCCTGCCACTGCCACGGCCTGCCATGACATCGTCTTCCATGACAGCGTCTTCTCTGACATCGTCTTGCTTGACATCGTCTTCTTTGACATCGTCTTCTTTGACATCATCTTCTTTGACACCATCTTCCTTGACATCGTCTTGCTTGACACCATCTGAAGAGTCATTGACATTGTCTTCCTTGACATCGTCTTCCATGACTTCGTCTGGCTTGACATCATCTTCTTTGACATCGTCTTGCTTGACATCATCTTCTTTGACATTGTCTTGCTTGACATCATCTTCCTTGACACCATCTTCCTTGACATCGTCTTCTTTGACGTCGTCTTGCTTGACATCGTCTTGCTTGACATCGTCTTGCTTGACATCATCTTCCTTGACATCGTCTTCTTTGACATCGTCTTGCTTGACACCATCTGAAGAGTCATTGACATTGTCTTCCTTGACATCGTCTTCCATGACTTCGTCTGGCTTGACATCATCTTCCTTGACACCATCTGAAGAGTCATTGACACTGTCTTCCATGACTTCGTCTTCCTTGACACCGGGTGGCAGGACACCGTCTTTCTCCGCGCAGCCGGCGCAATACACCTCCCACACGCACGCGGTGGTAAGTCGATGAGTGATGTTGTGGAGTTGCGCAGGCCCGAGCTTCAACTCGACCATGCCCCCGCACGGGACACACAACGCCATGTGGACCAGGCCAAGTTGGTCGTTGTTGTACGAGCTGTAGCTCATGTTGCCGATGATCTCAGTGGTCGTGTGTGCCTAGGCCCCTTTCTGTTTAGCGTCCCGCCCCGGATGACCGCCTCGTACTTACTTTTTTCTTGGCCGATATGATGATCGACTGGTAGTACCACTTTATATTTGCAACGACGCCTACGAAGTTAGTCCCGCTCGTGAGCTCAGTGATTTTGGTCTTACCTTGATGCCCGCGTTCATGTAAACCTGCTCCGTGTTGCCCTTAACCCAGACGAATATTGAGTCCGTGTCCCTGTAGATGGCCCTGAAGCCCCACAGGTTCGGTGTGTGAGTGGAAATACCTAGTTGATGGATTGATGGAATGATGAGTTGATTGGAGAATTGATTGATTAAGCGAGGAGATGAGGAGACATGGCGTGCCCTGTGGATCTGTTGGGTGGAAGGTGGTGGAAAGTGGTGGAAATTATTCGCCCAACATTCCCGATGGGGTTAGTGGAACTCAATAAGGAAGGAAGTGACCAGGTACGTCTTCGAACTCAACATCCTGTGGTTGCTGCCAACGCAGTCAGCATGACGGACAGGATGGTGGGCTCCTTCCCGACTATGCACATGTACTCGTCATCATCAGGATCGAGTCCTCGCCATCGAAGCAATCGCCGATTTCGAGGCTCAACAAGTCCTCGCAATCGAAGCAATCGCCGATCTCGAGGCCCAACAAGTACTCGGTGACGTCGAGGCCACCTTCCTAGTAAGTCTGACGCGTCAGCTGTACACGTAGACGCACATCTGTTGATGAAGATGTTGAACTTGGACATGATCGAGGCGTACAGTGAGTTCCCCTCGATGACGATTGCCCCCTGTAGCACCCGGACTGAGGCTCGAGGATGAACCCGCCTCAAACTCCCTTCCCGTCGACGCCCATGGACCTGCTCATGTCTGATAGGAAGGTCATTTGCAAACCCATCGACACTTTGAAGCATCAGACCATGTGGCCGCTATTGCCCGCGATCAGGTCCTAGATCGAGCACCTGGCCGTACCCGCGAGCGTGCAGCACCTCTCGGGCGTCTTGATGACCTTGGCGACTTACGCGTGCAGGTCCGAGTCCCTGGTCTTGTAGATGAGCATCTGGATAACATCGTAGTCGTCCCTCGGTCTGATCATCATCTCGTCCACGTCCAGCTTCAGAGGTAGGTTCAGGACCTCGGCCATCTTGGGGAAGATGGAGACCCAGTCCCAGGGCAGGTACTTGTCCACGTTGTACATTGAGTCCATGACCGAGATCCCGTTTTGTTCTCGAACGTGTCCGTGAGCCCGAGGACGTTGGCGCAGTAGACCGCGATTCTCTCGATGTCGAAGCCGAAGCCGTTGTGCACATTCACGAAGACGGGCGATAGTGAGTTCAGGATCTCGTATGCCTTGATGCACGTCTCCTCGGACGATGATACCTTGACGAATACGGCCCTCCTCCCCGGCTCGAACGTCGTCTCGGTGGACAATCTACCATGTCTGTAGATCTCCTGCCAGCCGAACTGAGCTTCCGACGTGAGTTTTCGTCCCTGATCTCTGTCCTTCTGTCCTGCCCTGGCCTGCCCTGCTCGACCTTACTCCATCCTTTACCAGCATGGCAGGGTTGGTGGTGTCGGCTTTTTCCACAAGCTCGACATTGCTGATCGGACTGGGCATTGTCGTTTGGCAACTTGCCCGACAACACTAGCGACTCTGATTCGGAACTTCTTGATGCCTTCGCCCGGAAGAGGAGGCAGTTGGACAAGGAAGTGGCCAGGTTCAAGCTGTACGAGCCATCTTCAGGCATGGGTGCGTCATGATGCGCCATCGTGAAATCCGAGTCCATGCCTCTTCATATTTCTTTTGTGTATCGTGAAGCATGTCTGGAGTCTCCTGATGCATTCCAAGGATTCAAGGCAAGTGAACCCTCTTCATCTCACGACTTGCTCGTTGCACTCCGACCCTGGTCTCACAACTCTCTGCCATGAACATGAACATGGACCCAGAATCAACACGACTTCATCGTGAAGTCTGTCCCCTTCCCCTCTTGATCAAGACTTCTACTTGGTACTCTTTTTGGATCGACGATGCATTTGAGGAGCAGCTCCGAGTCGAGCCTGGCTTTCGCGCGAGAAGATGGATGCAATCACCCCAACAATCACTCGTACTTCTGCGGTCAATCGATTGACGACGGTTTTTCATTAGTTACCGGGCCTCGATGTGCGAGAATGCGCGAGCGGGAAGCCACCCCCCCTGGCGAAGGTGCTCACTTCGATGTCCAAACTCAGGGCGTAGAGGGGGGTGGTCTGCGCGGCTCTGGCCACACCCGGACCTCTGCCCGACCCTGGGTCGAAACCATCACATCACCCTTCTCGGATTCGGGGTGTTTTCTGGCCAAAGAGTCAGCGAGTCGATCCCATTGTTCATCCTCCGAAAATCATGGCAGGACAGTGGAAGATATGTGACGTACAGATCCTCTTTCATCATTCATCCCAATCACTGGCTCTGGTGCTTCAGGATGCTCCTCCTTTGCCTTTTTGTTGCTGTCTCTTTCATCTCTTCATGATCCTTCATCCCCTGTTGTGAAGTCTCGGCTTGGAGGTCATGAGCCCGCGGCTGCAGCCAATCTCAGCTGCCAGTCCTCGCTCGTGCACGGCGGTATCAACCTGACCGTTTGTCAAAAGGTTCAGGCCATCATCAACGGTCCCAATTCAAAAAGAAACCTTTTCTCAATCTTAGGAGGCTCAGTAACGCCTTAAAACGCGTTCTTTCTCAGAGTGTGGATGAATGGCTAGAGACAACGCATATAAATCTTGCGGACATATCAAGATAAGAAACCGTAGGGGGCCATTCGAAACGACGACGGAAAAGGAGCCGATCTCATTCTCGTCGCCGCGCTACTCACTTACTCTTATCTCTTTTGCCCTTCTCACTACCCAACAGAAGGCAGTAAGGAGCGCGGGGTAGATGTGCCACTGCTCTCACTTGAAGGGTCGGAAAAGGTTTTGGGTAGTGAAGATAAAGAAAGATTTCTCAAATCCACGAGATCAATGCTAAGATGGCTACCAGAAGGGAGGAAGAGAGCTTCTGAACTTTCTGAAAGACCCGTGGCTACGGGGAGCAATTCCTTAAATTCTCTGTCGGTCTGGTGTGAATCTCACGGGAACAGAAGAAACTGCACAATCGACGCGTATGCTGGGTAGCAACAACTGATCCCGTGGAGGAAGGATTTTATTCGGAAATTGAGCGATTAATGAGGGACTGACGAGTAGCAAAAGCGACCGGTTCTCAAGCTAACTTCCCCTAGACCTTTGACGAAGAGACTAACTTCAGTCCGGACGGCTCCTCTGACGAAAGGGCCTCTATATGTCCTCTCAAAGTACCAACAGTCTATCATCGAGATGGAAGAAAGTCAAGGCAGAGAAGAGGGTGGCTGAAATGCAGGAGAAGGCAGAAAATATTGTCGAAGCAGAGGAGGCTTCTGAGCCAGAGCATGTCACTTCAGAAGAGAACATCACAGGGGCGCTAGGAAAGGATACATCGCGACCGTTGAAGATGCCTCTGTTTCCACAGCCTGATGCTGCTGTCCTTTATGCTGCACTGGTACACTCTCTACAACTTCTCAAGTCGTGTCTCTCTCATTTTGCATATCAAATATCCCATTAGAGCAGTCCGAACCCTACCGAACTCCCAACTGTAACTCTCTCCCTGATTCCCAAATAGCACGCTCCTCTTTTGGGAATTTCGAAGCGTCTCCATACCCTCTGGTTGCCTGTGCGGCGGCAGAACGCGCGCGAGAGATCGATGAAAGAACTCTCAGCGACATAGGTGTTGAGAGCGAGAACACGAAACATGAACCACAGATGAAAAGTTCGGCGTGATAAAATTGGGTACCGCGAATGAGGGTTTCATTATCTTCAAAGCTATCACACATTGCACGCACCCCTTCCATCCCTGTCTTATTCAGTTCCTTCGGTTACCAAAGAAGCGCTCGTTATTGCTGGACAATAAATACTATGTTTTTCCGATGCGGCGAGTTCCATAGCAGCTTGTTTATTACCGAGGATAGCTGGCCTCTCAATCTGCCTCGTGTTCCAACCTTTTCAATTCCTCCTTCAGATATTGCTTTCTGGTTTCCTTTTCTTCCTCTTCCTCTTCTTGCGTTGAGGAGGGTGTGGTCACAGCTGGAGCTAGGCCAAGGGCGTCGCAGCTCGATGTCATGTGATGGGAAGTGTTCGTGAAGCTGATCGGATCGACGCCTAATATCCCGCCATCGCGGTCGAACGCGAATACCCTATACAATGATCGTGTGAACAATGCGACAGTTAGGTTCCGGGAAATGGCTCCCGGAAGAAAGGCACTGCGTGCTCGTCCGCATCCAGGGGGAAGATGCACAGACCAACCCTGTTCTCAGTTCAACTTCTTCCCTCTGGGATCTCGAAGTCGCCCAAGAGAATGTGTGCACAATTTACGCGACGCGGATCAGCCGGACCTCCAGAGACTCGTTGCAATATGACATCTGGTACGGTATCTTACTATATTTCTGCCTGTTGATGAACAAACTCGAGGGTCCGTGCGTTTTGAGTGGTCCCGAGATATCCCATACTTGATCCAGAACCAAAGATAAAGTCGGATAACGGAGCGTTTCACGTACAAGGCGGACAGCGAGCAGGATCAGCAAACGACGCAGGCGGTGGCCAAGCACGTCAATCTTGGGGCCATGGTTGCCTAATTACTCGGCATCAGTCTGACACGCTAATACCTCTCGGCGGCCTCTAGTCCAATTACTCAGGGCCCGAGGCCGAAGACACCACGGATTTCTGTGGTCATTATCCAGGGGGTAACTTCCAAGGGTGGTCGCCATCACGGTCGCTGCGCAGGCAACACCAGTGATTAGCCTCTGAACCAAGTGAGGCATTTCATCGCTTTCAAACAGGCTTTCGCTCCGGTGGTCTATCAATGCCAGCCAACCATTTGCAATTTGCATTTCCAGCGTCCTGGTCGGTATTGCTCCCCTAGTGGAATGGTTGGCTCTCGACGACAGATACTTTCCATCCCTCTGATGAGTTGCCTCCACAACCCTGATGACTTCGTATTGTCGCCTCCCGGCCCCCCGCCCACAGCCCCGACGCAGGGGCCCCCTAGGCGCCAGGCGCCAGGCCCCGGAACCCCCGAATCATTCAGTCAAGAACATTGTCGTACTCGAACCCTTGTCCACAGAGAAGGTTTGTCGAATATCTTCCGGCCGATCATCATGACGCTTAGCTAGGCTTCTTTCAAAATTAGCAGTGGCAAAGGAAGGCAAATCAATATTCATATTACTTGTATCCGCAGTGTCCGAATTGCTGTGTCAACCGTTGGCTTCCGCGTACATAAGGTACTGTTTCCACTCGTGGCAGTCTGTTTCGTTCCAGGGCTCCTTTGGGCGACTGAACCCTGTCACGAAACACCCATGTGACACTGGACACTCAGCTGAGGCCGCCAGCCAAGGGGTCAGGCCGCCAGCCAAGCCGCTAGCTTATCGCACGTATATAGCAGGAGGGATCATACGTCTTCTTCAAGTGCTGACATCTCTATCCAAAGGCTAGTTATCTATCATTATCGATCCCATAGTACACACATTCACCCTTCAGTTAGGTAACTGGTCTGACTCTAACTTACAAGATGTCGACGGACATGACATTCGCGTTCTCGCAGTTGCCTTTCGATATCTTCCACGATGTTGCAAGTCGGCTCGACCATTTTTCGTTGGATAGACTGGCGAAAACGGCCAAGTCTTCACGCCGGCTTCTTCAGACTGAGAATACTGTGAAGGCTGTGATGCAGGTACTATCAATGCGCCAGTATATACAATGGACCATCGGCTGACTACATCAGGTGTATCTGCGATATTGTCTCTGGGTGCAGCTCGCGCTATCGCCGCTTGAACCAGGTCCCGGTCCCAGGCAAACCCTCGCCCGCATTGTCGACTCTCAGTCTGCGTTGCAACAGGCGTCACCGTACTCAGTCTGCATTCTGGCATACACTCCCAATTTCATATACAGCATGGGGGTTTTATGCTACACGACTTCGGACTTCACTCTTCGCATTCTAAATTTCAATGATCGCCGAGACACCGAGCAGGTCTTCGGTCGTGAGTTCTTCACTGGTCAAGTCTGCATCGCGAATCGGGAACAGGCCACCATAGACCTCGAATCTCTGAAAACGATGTGGGTCGAGAGTTACGCCGACGGAATAGTGGTTCTACAGTGTTCGGTTGGTGTCAATTTTACCCGATATATCCTCGCGGTGGATATAAAGAAAACCTCGAATCCCCCTCGGCCTCGAATCCGATTATGTGTATCGACCAAGGGGCCATGTACCAACAAACTTTTCGTTCGGAATAATGAACGATTCATGGTTTTGGGGACTAACTGGGGGCGTGAAACAAACGAAACATGGTTCCTAGAAGTCTATGATCTCGAGACGTCCCAGCAGGTAAATGGTGAGCCACTATTGCTGTCTGATTGCGGCTCCCGTATAGGATCGACAGTGTCTTTTACCATCTACAAAGACCAATTCTATGCCGTCACGAACCAGCTAAGCGGCGAGTGGACGAGCTACTATGGCATCATTACGTTTTCACTACGCCTAGGCGACCCAGATCCGGAACTCACAAACCACCTCATCTGGCGAAGAGAACACATGGACGGACCAATCGACGACACGTGGACTGATCTCAGCTTCCAGATAGACTACTCCACCGGCGAACTCTTGGTGGTCGAGGGAAGAAAAGAATGGGGGCCCGAGGGCGGTCCACTAATCAGGACTTATCACACAACACCCATACGCCGCGCAGATTTAGTGCCGTCCAACGAGATCGACAACAGTCGGCGGGTCCCAGCAGGGAGATACATTCATGCCGAGTTTCGTGACGACGGCGGCGAGAAGGAAGCGACGAAGGAGTATTCCCGAAAGAAGACAAAATGGAACGGGTACTCTTTCAACGCGCAAACTTTCGTCGATTTCATTACGGATGACTTCAACGTGAAAGGCGAGTGGCTCCCTCGAGAACGCACCAAGCTACGCGTGGTAAGTAGACAGGAGTCGAGTCCTCTGGTCAAAGATGCGGTGAATCCGGAAGATTGGGTGCTTCGCAAGCCCAAACGGGATCCGGAAGGCCGGGAGATGGAGGATGGCGAGCGAGCCTTCACGGCGAATACCATCTCTCTCTGGCCCCCGGAAGATGCACCTAAGGATCTACAGGACATGCTCCACTGCAAATGTTTCCGTCGTCAAGACGCCAAGGCAGTGGTGGGGGATGAGGGAATTTTCTTGAGGGCGGGCGGGCCAGGCCCTCTAAATTGGTCTCTGGTTTTTATCTGCTGCGATCCGACCTTTGGCTTTCAGGGGATGCGACGGCTCGATGGGAGTCTTGCCAGACCGAAATGGGACATGAAGACGGAGGACGACGGCGAGTTCGACGTCGAACATCCTCACAACAGAGGCGTGACACGCGAGCCTGCGATGTACGGCGTGATCGGTAGGGGATATTGGGTGCGCTAGTTATGCGAGGATACTATGCTTTCTTTAAACCTATTAAATGCCTCACCAGTTTTGAGGCTGGTCATTGTTGTTGCTGCCTGTGCGATCACCATCGTGATAACCACCTTTCAAAGTCTCGGTTGGTAGCTTTGGTAGCAGGGCGGAGGGGAAGTTGCAGGGGTCACTCTCTCAACGCTTAACTCTCCTTTTCTGCAGCTTCATAATACGGATCCCTGCGAACAAAAATCGCACCGAACAAGAGAGCGCGAATCCTCCACTGGCTCCCAGCAGTTTGCAGCGAAGACTGGGAGAGAGGCACGGTCTGGTACTGGTGGATGGCCACGGCCCCCAGAGGTGCCAGCCACCAGAGTTTTTCATTCCTTGAAGGCGTCGGGTAGGACGAGGGCGTAGGGTAGGACGAGAGCGTCGGGCAGCATTGGTAACGGAGACGACGCCGTAGATTGGGTCGACTCCGCATGTAATGTCCCTACTCCAGGCAGCAATGGGGCCAGCAAAGCGGCTCTGACGGCAACAATACCCGAGAGAGAGCACTCTAAGCTTCCAAACCATGTGAACGCGACAAAAACTGGGAACCTCGGGGCCAAGTGGTGGGAACCTTTACTGTGTACCGAGTACAGACTCCAGGCACGCCCCAAGTGTATATGAAACATCAGATCAGCGTCACTTAAATGACGTGGCCATTGTAGGGGTGACCATACTACTTCCACGTTGATGATACTGTAACCAACCATTATTAAGCCTCTGGATCATGGCGTGAACAGGCGCGTGGCAACTCCAGATCTAGATCCATCGGCAGCGTTGCGACCTGGAGAAATAAATAGCGAGGAGGAAATCTGGAAACTATACGGACATAGGAAGTTGGACTAGTGCAGGAGCATGTCTTTGGAAGTCAAGCAGCTCAAGATACAGCCTGCGGTCTCTGAAGTAAAAGATTTACAAGCAAATGGCAATGCCGCCAATTGTGTTCGCGAAAGCCCGGGTGGACAAGGACATGCCTTTTCCACTTGGTCACGTTCGTGTACTTAGTATGGGGCGCTGTGCCAGCTTTTCCTTTTCCCACAGGCTCGCCGTGTCTCTTGCCAAGCCGAAGAATGGTGACTATTGAGTGTTGAGAGCTGGGCTCCTTCTGAACCACCCTCCCAATGTAGAGATGATTTTAGTGTAAAACGGAAAAGTCTCAGACGGTTAATGCTCGATTGCTTCCCCCAGGAGTGGGACGGTCACCCGCCTTGGGCACCAAGCCTACCTACCGAGGGCGATCTCCATGTTTTGGTGCAGCCGCTCCTGGTCGTAGCATCATCATCAAGGGTAAAATATTGCGTCTATTGGCGCTGATGGCCTTGTAATTATTTAATATCCACGTATAGGAATCTCTCCTCCTGAAGGGCCTTTCAGGACAGTGAAGATGACTGATCGGCGGCGGGTACCTGTCACGAACCGCCAACGCATAACTCGCACATGACAACCACTCATTATTTAAGCACCGCATGCTCACCGCCTGAGGGAAACTTCCCTTTCCTTTCCTCGTGTTTTGAGTCTTAGTTAAGATATACTATCAAAGAATACCTATACCTACCTGTTACCTATCGCCGCCCTCTACCTATCTCCATAGGCCGTTCCTAACAGTACCGCTAGGGTATACCGAATGTCGATTTTCAAGATATACTCGTGAAGAATATGTGTCGTATGTACCACGGTACGACGTAACGCCGAGGTGGCATGAACACACACGCACCAACAATTACCATCATTCCTCAAGAATTGAAGACTGGCACTCAGCAGTGTCCTCACAGGCACATGACCGCAAGGTCCAGTACACCGCATCACAGGGTCACGACTATATGAACGAGGGCGAGGGCTGCTCGAACAACATTTCTACCTCAAAGATATCATTATAGTACACAACCACTGGCGCCGAATCAGCCTATCTACGTCTACGTCGGTGAAATTGAAAGATATGGGGCGTACTTATATTTCCCGGGAGCCAAAGCCGTCAAAGTCAAAGCATGGAAACGAGTCAGACAAAGACCCTTACTTCCACCATAGACAGGAGCATGTTAGAGAAGGACCGCCAAAGTACTTCAGACCACAGCGCTCTTCGACCACCTCTAGGACATCGTCAAAGTCCAAGTTCGAGGCCTCAAAGCCTACTCGACAGGCAACAGAGGGAGATGCCATCCATGCTCGTATCCCAGCGGGCTTTACAATCAAACATTGGGATCCCACAGAAAAGCCGATCATTCTGCTCGGAAGTGTCTTTGACGCGAATTCCCTTGGCAAATGGATATACGACTGGACCATCTGGCATCACGGCCGTTCGAATCCCATCACCGATGTGGCTGGAGAGCTGTGGCTGCTTCTTATTAAACTTGCGGGCAAGATGAAAAGTGCAGAGGGGCGCGTTGGCCGCATTGCCGATGCTGAACTGCGAGGAATCGTGGAGCACCTCATCGACCGTGGCGGCGGGCTGTGGGACCGGCTCAGAGACCTCCTCAAAAAGTGTGAATTTCACATGGTGAAGGCCGCCAAGAGAGATGGCACAAAGACAATGGGTAGAAGAGCCGGCACCGAATTTGTCGACTCGATGTTCGGACCTGATCGCCACCTGGAGTTGACAGAGAAGATTATGAAGCAGATCAGACTTTGGAGCGAACGCTTCGACGACTACTGTGAGGAGACATTTCGTAGACCATCTCGTACCTAGATCTTTTGAAAGCACGGCGGCGGATGGTATATTTACTTATGGACGAGAGCGGGATCAAGTTCATGGTTTTCAAGTGCCTCTAGTGCCAAAGCGGAGGGGGGGAGGACATTCTGGCAAGTCCACGCTATTATGTTTCTATTGGCAGGCAGGAGTAATAAATTGGATTATGGACTTTACTGAGAAGCTGAAGCACTCGTTGACCAAGACTAAGGGGCATGGTAGGTACTTCCGCCTGTCTCGATTAACTACAGCACGCCAGCACCCCCGCAAGAGTAGCCCCCTAAACACTAGACAAACCTGGCCGCGTCGGCTGTAGAAGTTGCGCATGCTGCCCGGCTATTGCAAAGTCTCTCTACCCAGCGACAAGAGAGAGAATACCAAACACCGACCTCTTACAAGGCATGCCGTGCTTGGTGGAGCTCCCAAAGCGCCAACGAAAGTGTCGAGTTCCAGGTCCCCCTCCTCATGGTCGTAGCTTATCGGCGGTGTGGAGGCCTAATCTTGCGTAATGCCGTGATTGATCGTGAGTTTCTTCTGCATCACGAACGTCTCGTGTAGCAGCGACCACGGAGACTTGATACCTTCCTGGCTCCCTCTTACCCAGGAGTTTGGCGGTTGGTATGCAGTCATAATTCATGTAACCGTAGATGTTGCTTCTCTCGCCGCAGTTGATCTAGACGGCCTCCTGGTGCTCGTCGAAATCTTCCCTGAAGATCGCATAACGACACCACCACCATAACTACTCTGACGCGCTCGAACGCGTGTGGCGCGTCCACTCCGCAAACTCAACGAACGATCCTTACGGCCAAAGAAGCCAACGGAACGCGCTCGCGGGATCGATGAAGGAACTCTCAGCGACAGTAGGCGTTGATAGCGAGAGCACGGGACATGGACCATAAACGAAAAGGTCGGCGTGGTCAACTGCCGAAAAACAACCACAGGCGCATGTCCAAACCCGGAACATTCACCCTGGCCAGGCCCAAGTCCTACAACTAGTTCAAAGCACGGCAATGAGCTACGCGTCGGAAATAAAGACCACCCAGAGGCGTACGAGAACAAGACTGAGGCATTACTGGAGATATACCAAAAGAACATGGAGCGCATTGTAGCATTAGAGACCCAGAAATTGGGGGAAATGGAACTTTATCAAGAACAGCGCGAATTAACAAGTCAAGATGACACGAAGCTGGGCCTAGGTGGTCGTAGGCGCATCCGCGGTGAATAGCTCCTCGGCCACCACACCGGCGTCACGACCGTCGCTCCCAAAAGGCCCCGTCAATCCTAGTAGCTCAGCGTCTTAACCGTCAAATCTGTCGCAAACCGCCGTTGGGGTTGATCTCAGTCAGACCAGCGAACAGGCGAGAGATTTCCGACAGCTGAACCGTGTGCGAGGAGTGTCGAACGGTCAAGTGCCGCACAAAGGCGGCGAACGATTGATTTTGGTATGTCATCGGCGGACGGAGATGGGGCGAAAGGGCCACTGTTACAGCTGAAGATATCCTTTGAAGACGGCTTTAGTCAAATTAGTTCCGACGATGCCGCCGCCATGACGACGGTCGGTGCCAATGCCACTAGAGTAAACAAGCGAGTCGCCCCTCAGCCATGCAAGAGACATCGCCCAGCTGGCTGGACTGAGTGTTGAATTTTAGGGTCTCGATAGAATATTTCGACCAGACCTCATCAACATATTAGTTCCAGTAGCTTGAGAGTGCGTTCGGCTGCAGTTGGACGGAACTGTTAGGAGAGAGAACGCGAATAAAGCTGCCTTGGAAATCGTGGATACACAGACCTTTCCAAGGGTAGCGGTCAATCGAACCTTGGATTCCAAGAGCGTCGCAGATACTTTGTATCGCCCCCTTCTTGTAGGCCTCCTAACTGTACTATGGACCGATCATTCTCATTGTCTGAGCTCTTCACAGATATTCCCAGGGCCAGCCCGACGAAGTCAACGCCGCTGATGTCGACCCATACGCCGGTAGTCTTACCAAAATATGTGAGTTCTACAAATCCCCAATCCGTGTCTGTGTTGGACTTGTCGGTAACGGATGGCTCGACTAACGACACATCTCCAGCAGCGCTCCTGATACAAGAAAATCTTGGGTCTCCCTCGGCGACCCAAACCCTCCCAGTGGTGATATCGGTAGGGAGAGTAATTTTTGTCGTCTGATTGACAGCTTGAAGAGGTATTCTGATGACCTGACCCAGCTCCTATATTGAGGGCGATGCATGGAGCGGCATCTCAGACATATTCACCGGACACACGGAGACATTGACTGTTTGCTGTTTAACGGGACCGATCGTGCTAATGACGAGACTCTGAAGATTCTTCGATCGAATAGCAGCTGGACTTCAGTGCCTCTTTTGCCGCGGCACACATCTGGTGGGGGGAAGCTGGACACTCACTTCCCAAAACTCCACCACCTCTCCTTGCACAATGTTGTGGCTACGAGTCGAATTTTTTTCCGTTTGTCCATTGTAAAAGATCTGAAATCCCTCGCCCTTGAAAATGAAGATATCTGCACTTCCACGGGGGCTCGTGAATTACTACAAGACGCTCTTCGGTATACTTCCAAGAAGCTCCAAGGCATCACCCTGAGATCAGGATCATTTTGTATTATTAGAGCCGCTGTCGATTTATACAATGCTCCGCAGCTATATTACCTACTCTACCTGCTTTTGGATGGTGCCAATTTTTGTGGACGGTCGAGATTGGATAATTCTATCAAAGGCATTAAAGCTTCACGTTATTGCCAGGATACCTTCGTGGAATCACGTCCAGGTGGGTTGGGACTTGTTCTTTTTGACCAGCTTGTACTGAATTTCTCTCCTCACAGATCCGGCGGAGTTGCTAGTTAGGCAACCGATTCCACAGTTCCTGGGAGATCGAAAGGGGAGTATATCAGCTTCGACCACACAAGCTGATATCGCAGCCACGTGCATGTTCCTGTGGCTTCCTTGACCGCCGTTTTATGTTTGAAATTTTGCAATTTGGAGAGAGTCTCTGCTTCGATGTCTTTCTGCGATTTATTGCAGATGTGAGGCAGAAAGGCTGCTCACACGCGAACTTTTTTAAACCATGTCGGGTGCCATCCACATGACTCCTCAGTAAGCCGCGCACCTTGTCTCTGTCCGACTTGGTCGTACAGAGGGTCATCATCATCTCTCTCTGCTCGTTCATCTCTGTGGTCATGCAGTTGTTGTTGTTGCAGATGAGCCTCGTGGACTCGCTTCTGACCCGCGTCCTCGCACTTGACGCCGGACATCCTCTCGTCGCAGTAGTCGACAAGTCTTACCGTAGCCAACCCTGCACCCATCGCAGACCATCTCACTGTGCTTGCACATGTCGTTGCTTGTAGTCAGGGACCCGCTCAGCCCGCGATCACGTTTTCGAACGTGTACACCTGCAGGGGCCTGTAGATGATCGTCCTCTTGTCCATGATCATCTCCTGTTATGGATTCGTCGTAGTAGACCCAGCACTGGATCGACGAGACCGTCAACACCACCACGATCACCTTCACCAGCACAGTATAAGGCCACCACCGGCGTCTGCTTCGTCTGTAAGAACGGGTCCACGAGCATCATCCCGGGCGACAAGAGGACCGAGGAGACTCCGGCGACCACGCTCTTCGCGCGGACTGAGTGCGTCAACAGGCAGACAATCATCGTCTCGCACCACCCCGACTGCATGGGCGCCAGCATTACCATGACCGCGTCGACGATACACAAGGACCACCAGCACGACGTCAAGGAGGCGATCTTGAAGATGGCGTTCAACATCAACTTGACGGTCTACCTGGTCATCCCCGGGGACGACAACAAGGTGCCGTGGCTGAGCATCGACCTGACCAACTGCGAGCGTACACACACGAGCGAGGACACCACCGTGTAGGTGATCATGCATACCCGAGGACACCCCCATATAGGTGGATATACACATGCGTGGACACCGCCATGGAGGTAGATATACACACCAGAGGACACCACTCTGTAGGTCAACATGCACACGTAGGCGTAGCCGATCCAAACCGCCAACTGTACGAGCACCCAACCGTGACCCTCAAGATGTGCAAGATCACCTTCACCATCTGCTCCTGTTGCACGTACTCGTTCGAATTGATCGACTCGTGCCCGAACGACAACTTGTGCCTGTCCATGGCCCGCGTGTTGGATGGCCTCGTGAAGATGCACCTGCAGAGGTACGGGTTGACGATCGTGGTCGAGCCCATGACGTCCAGCACATGCCTGGACACCCAGCTGGAGTTGCACGCTGACACGCCCCTGAACATTCCGAGGCATATGCTGAGAGCCTCCAAGATCATGAACCACATGCACAGAAGCGGGTTGGCGGACATCGCCGTGGTATTGCGAGTCGCTTCCCGCGTGCGGCGCGACGAGCAAACGCGAAGTGGTGTTCTTGGTGATGTAGTAGTGGAACCAAGTAGGCAGAGACGAAACCAAGCGTATAGTATAAGGGACTATACGTAAAGCGTATAACCGAGAGGAACTGGATTATTTGTGAACGAAGCTGACGACTTCGGGTTTGGTCGTGGCGCCTCATGTGTCAAGCGACTCATAACACTTGCGTTTCTCTCGTTCCGACTTTGGTTAACCCTTGGTTAACCCTTGGTTTCCCTTCTTTCTGGTATTGGTCTTCGGAAGCAAAAGATTGAACGTCCTTTTTGAACCATGTCCAGATGGATCCATCGGGTCCCCATGATGTTGGCGGTTCCTTGTAAGTCGTTCCCCCCCCTATGTATGCACCTTTTCTTTCCAACTGTCTTTCGTAGAGCCAGTTTGTCGATCCCAAAAAGCTTTGTCTTTCCCAATCCAGGTTTGAAGCATACCTTTGGAAACATCGCGTAATATCTGGCCACATCGAGCAAATCTTTGGTATGCATGCCGGGAGAAGAACAGCCAGCGGCACAACGGATCTATCAACTCGTAACACGTGGTGACGCCTGCGAGCGGGAGGCCACACACGGGCATGCGTATCGACAGGGACCACACGGTGGCCTTCTTCACCAGCGTGGGTCAGTCCACGTACTCGGTCAAGTGGCTGGACACGGCCTTGTGCATCTGGATGACGCGGAGGCCGTCGACGACCACGCCAAGTACCAGTTGCGCACCATGCTGGGGTCCGTGCCGGTGTACGTCGTCGTGTACAAAAACACGGGCGATGATGATGATCAGCCTTGGTTTCCCCGTGTTGTTGGACCGGTATTCACAATGGCTGTGGTGGCCTCTCTGCCAGCGGTCTGATGCCTCGTGTAAGTCCACCCCCACCGTCATGGACCCTTCGACTGCTAATCCTCGCCGAAGCAGGTGAGTCAAATCGTGTTCAACAACGCCCCCCATGCAGTGTGGCCTCTTCCCATATGGAGCAACGTCAGCATCGTTTTATCCCGCGAATCAGGCGAACAAGATCCTCATTCGTGCTGGTCACCTCCATGTCGTAGAATATGAAGGTGGTGTTCGCGGTCACCTCCATGTTCATCATCCTCTTTCGCCACGGCATCCACAGTTGTGTGCTCCATGCAGGTGTCCAACCCCACCCTGAGCGTCATGGCGTTGTACTCCAAGAACAACCGCTTGATCGAGTTCGGGGTCGGCGGCAGCGCGGCGAGCAAGGGCGGGGACGACAATGAGGGCGAGATCGGGATCGGGGGGGTCGAACAGGGTCATGGAGATAATGGAGAAGCGCATGTCACAGATGGAGCTCGAGATCGAGCGCTTGAAAGCCGACGGGCCCACGGAGAGAGGCACAGGAACACCGCGAGGCTGCCGGACCCGGACGCGTTGAGGCACACCAAGTCGCTGGCGTTCAGCATGCGGAGGATGAAGACGGACACGGTCAGAGACGAGGAAACTGAGTCGTTCAGCACCGTGAACAGGACCAAGAGTGAGTCGTCCAGTAACGGCACCCTCATGGAGAACACGCCCTTCTCCACGCACCTGACCTTCATGGGCAACCGCACTGTCCTTCCCCTGCGACGGGGTCGTGTTGGTGAGCAGCCACAGAACCCTGAGGTTGAAGGAGCCCACGGTCGACCTGCTCTGTATGGACGACAAGATGTGTGCGTCCGACAACGGGGTAATGGTGCCAGTTGCGAACGGGAGCATGAACATGGAGCAGGGCACGGTGTACGAGATGGATGTCGTCAAGAGGATGGACGCGTCAAATGTCGTGCTGGTGCACCCCAGGCAGCGCGTGGCGAAGAAGATGCCCGACCCCGCGCACGTGGTTAGACGCGCCGTGGTGAGCGCGGTCAGAGACCGGTGTTCACGTTCATGCCTGACCGAGACCTATTTCGCCACATCTCGAGTAGGCCTGCCTGCCTTGCGTAGTCGGTGTTGCCGCGGAGGATGGTTTGCTTCGACTCGAGGAGAGGAGAGGAGAGGTTGCTGCGATGGTGAGGCCCTCAATGATGGACGCAGTCCTGCTGGACATCACGGCCATGTCGTTCGCCATGTGCGACCGCGTGTACACCATAGCGCAGTCGCGGGTCCAGGAGAATAGGAAGGTGATGGTCATCTTCGGCGCGGGGAGGTTCCAGGAGTGGAGGCAGATTATGGTCAGCGGGTTCTCCTACATCGCGGTCGAGCCCGAGATCAGCGTCGAGGACTTGTCCAGGCGTATGAAGAGGGCCACAATTATGCCCTGCGACTTCAAGAGGAAGTTCGACGACCAGGTGATTTCACTTTCGAAGAGGGCGACGACCGTGCTCTGGGCGAAGTGCAGGTCCAAGGTTTTCATCGACCACACTATACCCACGAGGACAATGGCGATGATGAGCATCCCGGCCGTGTTCTCGTTTAGTATCTCGTGCCACATCAAGGTTATCAACATGCTCAGGGCCGAGGGGGTGCCCCATATTCGGGTGTAGGTTCGTGCACGACGCCATGCCGGAGCTGTGGAGGGCCGTAGACTCGAACACGTACGAGATTATGGACAGGGCCGTCATCATGTCTACATGATGAACTTAATCCCGAGTGGGACGAAGTTCAAGGTGTTGTACATGTACACCTCCGCGAACACGGCCAAAACTAACATCGAGTACCTCACCATCTTCTCCGTCGAGGGCGGCTTCGGGTACGGGCAATCCCAGCCGATCACTGTCCTGTTGTAGACCGGGCAGCTGATGAGGACCACGTAGTTGTCCATGATGATGGCATCCCTCACAACCGACGTGCAGTTCTACATCACGATGGCGAGCAGCTCTCCCACGGGCAACCTAGGCGTGTCCAGCCTCTACCTCCCCCTCGGGATGGTGATCGACCTAAATACCGTGGACGGGTAGTGTTTGATCGTGGTAATGTGTCTGAGCTGTAATACACGAATAATCCCGTACGTGACCCTGACCGTCCTCACCTTCTTGCTGGTGTCCGTGAACGTCGACCTCTTCCCGCGTACAACCACGTCCCCCTTCGGGAGCCTGGGCCCGACCCTCTTCTGGTCCTCGAACGACACGACGACCGCCTTCCTGGGCTGGTGCATCCCCTTTGTCCTGAACGCCTCTATGGAATCGAACATGTTCGTCACCGCGGCCATCTCTCTGATCTCCCCCCCAAGCCCCCTCGCGAGGTTCTTCGTGCTGATGAGCATATTCGGCTTGAACTCCTTGCCGGTCACCTCGTCAATGATGCTGGGCATCTCGTCCTCCGGCACCACCGAGGTGACGGTGATGTCATACGGGAGCAGCTCCCTCGCCGTAAACTTCAGCCCGTACATGGGCCCGAGCTTGTCGCCGATTTTGAGCACCTTCGAAGCCACGTATACGACCGCGATGGGGTCCCCCGACCTGCTTATCTCCACCTCCAGCACCGTACCCTTGATGGTAATAGGCCGTCCTTGACGACCATGCCGGCCCTGACGTACCCCATGTTTCTGGGTAGGGGGTAGTAGATCAAGCGGGACTAGGAGAACATGCCGGACTCGGCCAGCTCCTTGGACACGACGTATGCGTCCTCCGTGTTTAGCGTTCTGTTGACGAACGCCGTTACGACGTACTTACCCGGAAATACGATCGGGGCCGACTCCGTGGACATCTTCGAAAGCGCGCACATGAACGGGGTCATGACGAGGGGTCTGCTCTCGCCGTTGGCCACGACCGTAGCGTCGCCCTTGACCGGCGTCAGGGACATGGCCTGCCTGGCCATCTGCACCCCCATCCCGAGGCTGGGGTCGGCGGTCCACGCGGCGAAGGGGATGGATGCACTGGACAATGGAGCCGAAGAACTGCTCGGGCTCTGACTCGCACTTGGGGAAGTACATGCTCGCGAACGTCATGGTGTCGGACATACAACAATGCCGCAGCCATTGACCAGACCGACCGAAGACGGCGACGATCCGGCATATGGAGACGAAGCGTAAGTGATCTCTTTGGCTTCTTTGGCCACGGTTGGAGTTGACATGTCGCAGCTTGGCTGAAACCACCTCTATATCGTCGTGGATAAGGGACTACCGCGTAGAAAATGGGCGGACCTACCACGCCTTGAAGGATGGCAAGTACTGGTATGCTGTCAGCATATATATGTCTCCATCACCAATTGCTTACCCTCTTGCTATAGGGGCTAGAACGATGAGGAGGCTAATCAGCACCATGATATCAGCCAAGACCTGTATCGGAAAACCCTCAACAACCGCCTCTTCCTCGAAAGTAAAATGGCTTGGACATCATGTAGTGGGACCTCCAACTCTGCTCCTTTGCGCTGGTCAGCGCGGCGGAAGAAGATATCTGCCGACGCAGAGAGAGGCCTCGACCTCGACCTCGAGTTCGACTTGAACTCAACTGGCGGTGGAGGGTCCGGTTTCTCGATCTGGCAAGTCAAGTCGCCGCAGAGCAGACATTCGAGTACCCGAGACGCCGAGCTAAAAGTGAATGAACGTGACGTTACCGATGTTTTCGACCTTCCCACCACGCCGCAGCTCGAGCGTCGCCCATGGTGGACTGTGAGTCATGGTAGCCCATATGCCCCATGCCCACGAGAAGAGAGAAAACGGGGGTCATGTATATCTCAGCAAAGGGGTCGTTGACTTGCGACGGGGCGCTAATGCAAGAGCAGGTGCGCGGACCATAAGATGATCATGGGTGTCAGTTATGGCCCGTGCACCTCCTCCCTGCATTAGCGCCCCTTAGCCAGCGCGCACAGACCTTCAGGTGTCAACGCCCAAGTCATGCCGCAAGGGACAGTTCAGACGACGAGAGATACGGTCACGTCACTGTGCTGTCCCTACCACACCCATTACAGTACAACACCACACCACACGGCACCACCAGCGAGTAATAGGGCGTGAGATATCAGTATCAGCCAAAGGACACGCCATGCACACTCTGCGTTTGGCCGCCTGCCACCCCGAAAGAAACAGCAGCCTGTCGATCGAGATGTACCACTGCGAGTACGCCGTCTACCACAAGTGCTTCAACACCGACGAGGTAGTGTACATATGCAGGGGCGGGTCTGGCGGGATGTCCATCACCAGGAACTCGTACAAATTCTGGTCCGTCCACATGGACTGGTACGGGGTCCCCGCACATGATCGTGGGCGTCTGGATCATGCGGTACCCGGTCTGTGCCTGTAGACGGTACGGGTACGAAAACCTCTAGGGTCGCGCTGACGGCTTCAGTCCGACTCTGGTAGATACACCGCATGCAACCTCGTGTCGACGGTGGCGTCCCAGCGGCTGACCGTAAACTCGGTCGCGGTCGTGCTCCCGCTCATGATCGTCGTCGTCACGATACGGACTCACGTACCTGTGCACTGGGCGACGCGCGACTAGCCGAACATGGATGTGGTGGCGAGCATCTGCCCGATCTGCGGGCGAGGACAAGAACCCAGCCACGGCCAGGTAGGAGCACGCCAGGCTGGGCTTGGACGAGCCTCCGGAGCCAGTGCTGTGCAGGTGCAAGAACATGGTGAAGATCTTGGAGTCGGTCAGCAGGAAGGTGTCGAGCACGGCTGCTGTGAGGATTTGGAAAGAGTTCTGCAACTAGCTAGCCAACCTAGTAACAAGGGGGATAAATCTGAGGATAGAGGAAGAAGGACGAACACCCGCTCTCTCTCTCTCCTTATATCATACGCTCTCCCGTAAGGGATATCGATTATCTTCCCCTTTCTCCATTGTCCTTCCTTTCTCGTACACGCCCGACATTCCTCTTACACTTTGTCTCTCTTCCTTACCTTCCCTTACGTACGGTGTCTCAGTTGCCAGGATCCTGTATCCCTTGCACCGTGCGTGTCTCGGAAGTGGCGTTAGTCCTGGCGTTGGTCTTGGTGCTGGTTCGCGAGAGCCGAGCCTTCTCCTGGGTTCAACCCATCACAGCTGCCACCACGAACGCGCCGGACAACATGACCATGGAGTCGCTCCCGCACCCGAGCGTGAACATGGTTCTAATCTATACCGTGTCGCAGAGGCCGGTCAGAGAGGTGGAGGTGAGGATGGACACGCCCCTGGCTGGCCAGGATTATGTTCGAGAAGATGGAGAGCGGGCTGTTCCCGGACGCCACCACGCCCGAGATCAGGGAGGTGGGGTGCACCTAGTGGACGGGCTCGGTGATGGAGGCCAAGGTGATCGTGAAGAAGCGTTCGAAAGATGAGGCGGTGGTGAAGGTGACGAATGGCAGGACGAGGATAGTGCCCGGGTACATCCTGGCGGTCTCGGACGAGTAGGGCTTCGACGGCGCCATCAAGAGCGTGATGTATGACGTGGACATGGTCGAGATCAGGTCCACCATGGTGATCAGAAACACGACGACCCACGTCATCGTGAGGAGGTACACCAACGATATCGAGGAGTCGTACGCGGCCGAGTTCGAGATAGAGGGCCGGACGACCAACAGCATCGTGAAGGCGATCGTGTGCACGTGCATGGGTATTGTCGGCACCATCTCGTCGATGAGAGGGGCAGTCGAGCCCGAGTTTATGAGCGACATCAGGGCCGCCGACCACATCGTGATGGACGTCCCGAGCATGAATGGGTACAAGCGGGAGTAGATGGCCAAAGCCGACGGGATGAAGGTGTACATCCTGTGCTACACGTCCGGGTACGTGGTGTGCACGACCGACCCGGAGATGACGGCGTTGTCGTGCATGGTCACGATCAACAGCACGGGCATGCCCGAGTTGACCAACAGACCCGACGTCGTGGTGGCGGAGCTGATCGCGGATGGCTCCATGGTGTACATCGACACGCTAGGCATGAACGGCAACGCGAAGCTGTCGGTGGATCTCAAGAGGTACAAGTGGCCGATCGCCACCAGGAGGCCGTACATGATCTACAGGAAAGGTGTGGGACAGGGTGCCGACCACGTTGGAGCTCGAGCTCATGGCGATCAGATCCGGAGTCCACATCAGGCGCCTGGTCGAGTCCTTCGCCGCCAAATCGAACAGCACGGCACCACCGCCACCATGCTGCTGTTGTTGACCCTGTCTCGCGAAGATGGCCCCGGTCGGCACGGCGTTGGTGGCCGCGCTGATGTTGGCGTTCTCGGGGGGCGTTGGCGCCGGTGGTCCACCCCGCGCCCGTGTCGTCGACGTCGGGTAGAGCCCCGGGCATGAAGACGTTGCGGACAGCGTTCATGTTGCCGAACAGATTCCTGGCCATGTTCGAGAACGGGATGTAGCGCTCTTCGACATATGGGGTCTTGCCCACGGGCTTGGTCAAGGTCCTGTTCTGCGGGCAGTGTGCGGCCAGATGCGAGTCCGTGGACGGGTACGACCCTGCGAAGGTGTGCGACGACGTGCCCGGGTGATGAACTTGTGCAGGGACCTGGTCAAGTTGGGGATGACGAACCTGATGCTGGACACGGGTTCCCAATATACTACGATACCGAGGACAGCCCGGGGAATATCATCAACTTCGCGCAGAGGTACGTGACTCCATGCGCAAGGAGGGACTCGCTCATGACATCGGGACGAAGAAGTCGCTGTACGCTGACACGAACATGGAGAGTCTGTCGAACATGTACCGGGGCATGAGCATCATCTGGTACTCGACCGAAAACGTGGTCAACTAGTTGAGCACGTACCTGACCATCACCGCGAGGATGTGCAACTCGGTGGTCATCTTTCGCGTGCGACACCACGAACGAGATCTTGTACCTCTGCCAGCACGAGTTCGCGGACGGGGGCATGACTAACAACGGGGCCGAGCTGTGGAACATGCACAGCCACACGGACGAGCCGATGTCAGAGGTCACCATCAAGTTCGTGGTCTGCACCGACTGCATGGACAAGAGCGACGCGGTGGGCACGTAGACGAGGCAGGTCGGCGGCGAGTGGAACCGCATATGAAAGGACAGGTTCAGGGAGACGTTGTCAAGCAGGATGCAAGGGCCTGCGCATAGACGTGAACCCGTCGTGGGCCATGGTCTTGCCGTTATACATGATGAAGGAGAGCAAGATAGTCATGACCGTGAACGCCAGACTATAGCACCTCAAGCAAGCTTGCCAATTCGACTCGGAGTAAAAAGACATATTGCTGTAACTTCGTGACGTGGGCGAATCCTGAGACCGTGTCCGGCGTCCGTTTTGAAATGATCGACGCAATACACCTTTTCTTCTCTTTCGTTATACACCGCAATGCCGAGGTTGCTGGTCAAATCTCGCTGGCAGACGCTGCAAGTAAGATGACGGGACGGGGCTTTGCATGCCATCTCCGGCTGCAAATCATAACACATTCATCGTCGATGGGTTTCAAGCACGCAGGCCGTTTCCACGAATGCCCTTTTCCTTCTCCTGTAGCCCAACCCTGGCAAGGATACACGACAGCCGACAGACAGCCTCGTGAACTTTGTGTTGTAGAGGAATTCGACATGAGCGAACTGTGCACACCATATCCAACTCTGAAAATCGATCGTAGAGTCTTCCCGCATTGGCTGTGTCGGTATACTCGACCAGGGCCAATCCGAGGATATTAGGCGCGATCTCGCCGTAGCACACTTTGTAGGAACCCGGGACCTTGACTGGTTCGTCGGCGGAGAGGTTCAAGCCGGACTGCGGTACCTGGTCAGGCCTCTCCCCGTCGTCGACGTCGAGGACACTGTAGGGCACTCTGGTGCCGGTTCGCTCGTCGACCACGGCCGAGTAGTGCAGCGCCTCAGCCACCTCAAAGGGCGACAGGCTGATCTTCCTGCCGAGCAGCCAGTAGCCGTCGTACTATCGTGAACGCGTGGGTGCTGATAGATTTGGCACAAATGGCGAGGGCGGCCGAGCCTCGATAGTTCTCGAGCACACTTTCGTTCTCAGTCCGCGGCGTGCCAGTCTCTCCCTTCTGCTCCGTATCCAATGGCCGTGCTTGAGCTTATCGGCATCCTCTTGCTTCTTGTCCCAGTCTTCGTTTTTCCAGTGATTTTCTGCGCAGCCCAGATTCCATTCTTGTGGACTGCCAATCTCAGCAAGATGGGGTGGGATTCATGATCATCCTCAGAATGCCGCCCCTAATCCCGCAGCCGGTTCCGAGTAAAGTTGGTTGGACAGGTAAGAGGCGGCCGAGAAGGAGGCGTAAATGGTATGTATCTGTCTGCCTCATTATTCTCGATTTGCCGGAGGTTGTTGCACCGGAAACCTCTTTTGTCTTCTGGCAATCCGGTAAGCTTATCCTGCTTTTGCTCTGCGAGGGCAGCCACAGACTCACACGGCCTGGTGGGGGAAGACCGCGGAGGAGAAGGAACAGAGAAAGAATGAGAGAATTCTCAGAAATCGCATAGCAGCGGACGACCCGGCCTTGTCGAGCTTGGAGCCCGCGTCGATGCGCTCGTGCGCGGCCCGACGCACCCAGTACAACGCGGCGCGGTTTAGGCAGGACTCAGTAGAGCGGTAGGATGGCTAGGATGGTCAACAGTATGAGGCCGACCGCGACGGCCAGGATGGTGCAGTTGGTCCGGTACACCGTCTGGTAGATTTGGTATTGGCCCACGGTGGTGGCGTTGTGGACGGGCGCAGTCGACGTCTGCACGTCCAGCGCCGACGCGCTTTCTGCATCGAAGAGAGGCGCCGGGGGGATTTTCCTGCAAGCAAGACGCAATTAGTATGGACGTGTCGACACATGTCTTTGTTTCACTTGCCTCCCCATTCCCTTGCTTCCCAGCTGCTTCGTCCTCCTTGTCGTGAAACTTCAAACTGATGCTCTTCACACAATGTCTCTTGTCCGAGCGCGAAGAATAACTGCGTGCATGGGTGCGTTGACCGACATTTTACAGGTAGCCACGCGCCTAATGACGACGTTGACCGTAGGTTCGATAACTTGGCATGGGACGCGTTGTTGACAGCTAGAGGCGGCCCAATGCCGCGGCTACTTTCGAACAAATCATACGCCTCGGCTCGCTCATTCGAGTGACAGCCCTCACCACCCCAGTCCACTCGCAACTTTACACGATACTTCCTCTTCATTTCAGCGACAAGACGGGACGGTGTCGAGCTTCATGTACGAGGCTCGATACAGCAGGACTAGTGGGCAAGTCGAAGTTCCAATGCAACACGAAAGAGTCTTTTCAGCCCGTTGTCCAGCCCGCGTTAACACTTCCCAACAGACCCTCGAACTGTCTCTCAGGCCTTCTTTTCAACTTTACCCGCAACCTGCGTTCTCGACTCCATGCCCTCTACCGTGTGTCGGCTGCTGTCTCCTCCTTCCACCCCGTCGTCTGTACCGGAAAAGCCTTCCTTCGTTAACCCACCCTCACCTTAACATCGATCTTCCGCGCCATCTGAGCAACCCGCGCCGCCAACCTCTGGGACACGCTCGTATCATGACAAGATATACTCCCAACCAGGCGACAAGGAGAAGCCTCTGTTTGTCTCCAAGGAGCTGGATCGGTGGGTCGCATGCCCATGCCCAGGATGCGGAAAGGCAACGCGTTTCCCCTTCTACGACTCCGACCAACGTCTGAAAGAACTATTGCGAGACGACCGCACCAACATCAATTTTCTACCCTGCACAACACACTATCTCCTGGCGGACAATCACCGGTTATGTCCCACAAGTATAGATTGCCTCAGAGCAAGCCAGGAGAAGAGGTGGAAGCGTCTCGTGCGGTCACCTGTGAGATAGCAGGGTATTGCTCGCTGAGCCATTGAAAAGACTTTGGAACAACCGTGGTGGCGGTGGGCGCAGACCCAAGCGATAGAGGTTGAAGTCGGTGAAAAAGAGGGTATACGAAGTTGCTACCTCTCGAGCTTCACATGCGGAGGGCGCAGGCCGGAGATGCGCAGGGATCAAGGCGCGTGCTCTATAGAAACCACCTCTGCTTGAATGTAAAACCATGTTTATTGTGGGATTGATGATGAGAACATGTAGCTCGTCATGCTCGTGATGCTGTACCTCATCATGAATCGAAAATATGATCACGAACAACTACTTGTCCCCGTACACTTAGATCTACACGCTCGTGTACCTACCCAGCAACATGTGTGACTCGGCCATTGGTACTGCCCGGGCAACAACCTCAGAGGCGTGTTGTGGAAAGACTGCCTGTTCAAGATGGCCTGGAACTGCAACAAGAACGCGAACGAGTAGTCGAAGTTCATCATGTACTTGAGGATGTAGATGATCGTGTACTGCAACAGGTGCGTGGCCAACGACAAGCCCTGGAACAACACATTTGTGGCACACCGACACCGTCGTGCAGAAGTACGCGAAGAAGCGCATGTATGGAATCATCAACGTGTCACCAGTCCAGTCCGTATGTAACTCCATCTTCACCAACATAACGTGGATCGAGAGCATGGAGACACGTGTGCCTGTGCAACGTCATGGTCGAGAGCAACAAGATGTACGAGATCACCTACAGGTACATCTACAGCAAGAGAGCAACAGGAACATCCACAGCAACACAGAAACAGGTATGTAACCTCCACAGCACCAGGTATGAAGTACCCACGGCAACAGGGACATCCACAGCAATAGGAATGTAACACCCCATAGCAACAGGAATATTACACTCCCACAGCAACAGGAATGTAACACACATAGCAACAGGTATGTAGCATCCACGGCAACAGGAATGGCACTCCCACAGCAACAGGAATGCAACCTCCATAGCAACAGGTATATAACCTCCACAGCAACAGGACAACGGACGTGGCCCCGGAAAGGTTGTACATGCTGATGGTGACCGATACCCTGCCCTACAGCAGGAACATGGGCATACACACCAGCACGTTCTGTGACGGCCTCAGATGCGTGTACCACCGCGTGTACAAGGACGCCTTCGATGCCATCGTCATGCCCGAGTCCAGGATCGTGTTGGGTAATCGCGAGGTTGATCGGGCGCGCAACCATCTCGAGGGGCGGCGACAACACGTCCGAGTACCCCGTCATCAGCATTGCGGGCGACGTGTTTCCGTCCATCTTCAGGGCCGTGGATAAGGAGAAGGCGCGGTACTCGTACGTGAACTTGATATGCAACCCCGAGGTGATCATGGACATGAAGATGAGGCTGGTTGCGGACACACACTGGTTCACGTACACCGAGAGTGACGTGGACATCAGCAGGAACGGGATTGCGGTCAAGCTCTGACCATGTTGATGTCGCTGTCCACGCGCACAAACTCGAGGCAGAGCTGACCGGGCACCACACCGTCTGCCGGAACATCGACAAGTACATGTGCATCCACATGGTGCTGTACACGATAGCGAACATGTTCTCGGGGGTGATCACGATGGTGGAGATGCGATCCAGCGTGATCACGAGGAGGAGCGTGTCCGGGTGCGCGGACAAGGTGGTGATCGTGCCCAACTGTATGATCATATATGCGCGACGCGGAGTTGAACAGTAACGTGGAGTGTCAAGTTCAGCAACGGACTTTGGGGCTCTTGAGTACCTCTTTGCCACCGAGTCCTTGGTTGATGGAAACGGCGCCAACTCGATGGTCATTGTGCTACCGAGTCATTGTGCTACCGAGTCATTGTGCTACCGAGTCATTGTGCTACCGAGTCATTGTGCTACCGAGTCATTGTGCTACCGAGTCCTTGGTTGATGGAGTGGGAGGTCTCTTGGAGCTTTATCGTTTCGCACAGCGCCAACTCGAGTGCCACCGAGTCCTTGGTTGATGGAAATAGTGGGAGTTCGATGTATGTCGAGCCCGCTCTTCAGCTGTAAAAGTAGGCTCGCCCCACAAGTTCGTGGTGGTTGAAGATGACGCGAAGTGAGAAAGAAGAAAAGGTCGGTCTTTAAATGAGTTCTGAAAGTGGGTCCTGTCGAACGCGTAGGAGTGAGAAAACAATAAGTAAACCACAGAGGACCATAAAAGGTCGGTCTTTCATGAGTGTGTCCTGTCGATGTTCGAGAATAGAATCCCACGCGTGGAAGTGAGAAAATGATGAGTAAATCACAGAAGACTAAAAGGTCCTCGGTCTTTCATGGGTTCTGGAAGTGTGTCCTGTCGATATTCGAGAAGAGAAATCCCACGCCTGGAGAAAGGAAGAGGAAACCAAGCCAGATACCCGCAGATCAATGGTCAATCGAGAGCGACTGCGCAGACATGAACGTGGAGATGTGCACGATCTGATGAGGTACAGGAACTCCATCATGTACGCCGACAACATGAACCACCTGCGCATGTACACCGAGTCGAACATGATCGTCTGCGTGGCCGTGACCAAGTTGATCGTCACGGGGGTCGACACGGTCACCTTCAGGTTGCTGCACGCGATGGAGAACCCGGAGTAGAAGATGACGATCGTCCCGCACATGGCTCGAAAACGGACCGCAGCAAGTACACTGACAGACCGAGTTCATGCACTCGCATTGGATCAGGTACTTCATCACCGACGTGGTCATGAACGCTCCGATCGTGCCGCAGTTGCCACTGCTCGCGCGCGACGCCTCAACCACAAACGAGAGGCTGTTGGCGATGAGGAGCGCCGCCAGCGTGGATTGCAATACCATTCCTCAACGGTACTCGCTGTAAAGCCAGCTTGGCAGTAGTAAGGGCGGCAGAGGCCTAGGATCCCAGCGGACCACAGCTAATTGATCGTTGTTCCTACTCTTGTGTCAATCCTACTCTTGTGTCCATATCGTTCGCTGTTGTAGGGGGAGAGGGTCGGATCGTACTGTGGCACACCATTGTAGTTAGTAAGTGTCTCATGATCGAGGACTGGGTACGTACGATTGATGATGGTGGCGATGGTGATTAGTAGAAGGAAAAACTTCAAGCGGCGAAAAGTCTTCGCTTTTGTTATAATCTCGACATACAGAAGTGCCAAGAGTATCGTCGTGATACACACCCAATCTGATTCACATTAGCATTGTATACAGTATCAAGAATCACGCTGAGCGCCGCCAGGCACTTCGACGCGGATGGGGGCGTGGTCACGGGCTTGAACCACAGCGCGGAGACGGACGCGAACGAGTCCGCGCGCGGAGAGATGTACTCGACGTGCACGCAGGTCCCGATCGTCGGTCACGGCACGAACCTGTCGAGGATCAAGGACGAGGCATCCTCTTCATCTTCACTTTCTTTAGATAGTGTAAATCCCCCCATCCGCAATGGGAAAAGCCAGGCTGGTAGTGGTGGCAGTAGTGTTGATACTCGCAAGATCACGCGTGGTGGGAGGACACGAGCTCCCCGCCCCCTCCTCACTAATTGTATCAAAGCTGACGTGACCTCGGTACGTAAAGCGACAACTAGCTCTAGCAGTCGCAGCTCTTCTGGATCCGAAACCCGCGTCAAACCATCCCCTGGACCGACTGCTCCAGCAAGGTCTTCCTCTTCGAAGCTTAGTACTCCTAGTGAGTCCCATTCCACTCTGACTGCGGATCGGAACCTTCCCCTCAGAACAGTGACCATGACTAACAGGACTATAGCTCTCAAATCTACCCTGAAGTCTACCTCCAAGTCTCCCAAGTAGGATACCGTCGACATCTCCTCTGATTCTGACGACTATAAAAGTGATACTGGAGAAGAAGAGGAAGAGGAAGAGGATAGCATAACTGATTTATATATCGATGAGGACACGACCGGTGAAGACAACATCGACGATAAAATCACTATGGCCATATCACCATCAAGTCTAATATCCACCAACTCCGACAGTCCGAAACCCGCCTGAAAGCGTATGAGGTCGAGAAGGACACGTATGACAAGAAGGTGGCCAGAGACAACAAACGCAGGGCGAAGGCGGAGTCCCAGAAGAGAGCCAGGAACGGTTCATTGACGCCCATAAGTGCAAGGCAGCGCAGACAGTTGAATGCTCGGTTGAAAGAACTTGGCTCCCCATCTCACCAGGCTTGAGCGGGAGCATAAGATAAATTCAGGTACTCGGTACATAATTGTCTCTACTGCACCCTATGCAGTTGTGTCTGTGCGCGACCCCGACCAAGCCCCCGAACCCGTATCTGCTCGCGTCTGCCAACTCGTATGCGCGATATGGCCCAGCCACGGTCTGCACGAACATCGCAGTGGTCGGTTTTACTTGTGCTGGCTAATGATGTTCTTCCTGTTCTGTTCACTGATGCCGTCTTCTGTTCAAGCCATTCCGCCACCGACTGCACCTTTCGAACCGCTCTCCCCTGTCCAACTTCACCAAGGCAGACTCAACAGGAGGTGGTTAGTACGCAGCACGTACATTCTGTAGCTTTCCCGCCCTTGGTAGTGCTTGGGGTGCAAAACCAAATGGACTGGTACGGTCATGTTCCTGTTGTCAGAGGATAAGACGTGCACACTATCGTAAATGGGGAATATGTGGTCACATTTCCTCCCGAAAGCGAAAGAAAGAAACGGCGCAAACAAATCCAAAGCGGGAAGACGTAGATTGCGGAGTATGAACAGTAATTAGTCTTTGCAATCTTTCTGAATTGAATATGACTTTGTACATGGACCAGCCAGTTGTGGCATAATGCTGCAATCAATGTAGAACATGATCCATCAAGCACTTTTTCTGACGCTGAGCTGAGTGCTTTGGGGGGCATGCTGTTTGCTCAGCTTGATGGATCGCATACGTGATCACATCGATTGCAGAGGGATCAGACCTGCACCCAAGTTCAACGTCGAGCGTGAACTGTACTTGTAGCTTCGCCGGGAAATCAGTGGTATTGGATTCTCCACTTCATTTCACGGGTGCTTGTACTTTTCTCCAGCAAATTCTCTAGAAGACTCGTCGCTATGGTGGCGGGATGCTGCAGCGGGTGGAGGCCAATTTGTTGTGTTCTTTAGCCCGTTGCACGACGGTGCAGTCGAGGTTCAGACGCAGCTGCAGGGTCCAGATTGTGCCTTGCAATCCAAGTACCTCTTCGATAGGGACACACGAGGAGGAGATATATGGTGTCTCGGGCTGCACGCTTCGGTCAGGCGAGGCAAGGCAAAGCAAGGCAACGTCTGGGTGGTCTTCTTCCGGAAAGACATCTTGATAAAACCGCTGGATGGATCAGGCCTCAAGCATGACGGTTTATGTCAAGAACACCGACTTTGAACAGTTCGTGGGATCACCGTGCCAATGCTGTCATCACCGCATCTTCAATCTCGGAGCCACACTGAAGGTGTTATTCGGCAAAAGTGCGATTGACTGGTGGATGATAGTGTGACGATCACAGAGACCGTTCCTGTCTCGCAAAGGGACTTTAGGGGTCAAGCCGGCATAAACTGCGCAAGGAGAAGAAATTTCACATCTCTTCGGACAAAGAAAACAAGCAGCTGCTCGAAAACTGTCCTTTATAAACCTGCTTGTCCTGTTGGTTATTGACGAATCCAATGCCTTTTCCATACTTCTGAAGACGAAACCAGAAACTGCCACTGCGTGGTCTTTCCATCTTCATGGCCAGCAGTCTGCCATCAAAACCTGGAATCCTGTACAATACTGTAGCTGTGATGATTTGAGTCGAATCGACGACAGATTCAAGACCGCTATTATAGAAGTTTCTTGTCTAGTCTTTTGGACAGGCGGATCCCCCCGAGCTCGCTCGACGTTGGGCAGAACGACATGACTTGTTGACACTGACTTTGGCGATGGGTACTCTGTACAGCGATCGCAATACAAACACTCCGAGATCCGGCAAATCTTCCAAAGAGTGTTCCAAATCTATGAATGCCGCTTCCGGTCGATTGCCGTCGAGCTATCGTTGTCACAAAACCTCCTCTTAACATCCGCAGCAAGACAAAACAGTCCAACTGCCGAGATCTCAAAGAACGGATTCTGAAGGGAGCTATCGGTGGCGGTGGCGGCACGGTGCGCATAAAGTATGTTCATCATGTATTATTGCAAGGATAAGATTTTCGATATCGAACCCGGCCGGTCGGTGAGTCGAGTGCGTGGTACGCACTTCAGGACCATCCTAGTGAAGGGACTTGGAGCTTCTGAATGTGCGGCTGTGGAAATTCGAAGTGCGGTCGGAGCGGTGCGGAAGTGGGCGCCAGCAAAACAGTCGCCGAGTAATACATGCAAGACAAGGGGAAGCAGCCACAGACGACGTAACTATGGTGCCAGTTGAAGCTCAGGGAAAGGAAGACGATATGCCGCAACCCGTAGAGCTAAAAATAATTAGCATGAGAAATGTATTGAGCAGGAGATCCAACAGACGAAGGAGTTAGATGGCGAGGGAACGCGACCAGGAGTAAAGCTGGAGTTAGATCCACCCGAAGAGAAGAGCAAGGGAAAGTAGAATCAGAGAGAGAGAGAGCCATAGTTCGCTCGCGGGCAGAATGTGGCGAAGCGGAAGCGACTGGAGGTAGAGTAGAAAGCTGCAGAGCAGAAAGCTGTAGAGGAGAAGAGAAAGGTAAAATTGAAGCAGATGGAGCAACATCGGGGGCAAACTCGAAAAACGGAAGAGGTGAAGCGGATGCAAGCAGAGCTGGACCAGGGAAATCCTCAGAAGAAAGAAGCTGAGTGAAAGCGACTGGAGCTGGGACAGCGGAAAATTCAAGAAAAGAAAGAGGGTGAGGGGGGAGCAACTGAAACCACAATGACGGATAGCTCGAGGAAGAGGGAAGCCAAGATGGAGCGCGTCGAATTGCGATGCATCCAGGGAAAACCATAGGCGGGTAGAGGCCCGTGATGAAGCCAGTCATACTCTCCGAACCGGTGTGAAGCCGAGAAATTACCGCCGGGAAGCCCCAACGATGCTGCAAACCACTCGTCCCTAACATCGGGCTATGATGTCCAGTGTGTCACTCTACCTTGGCCTTCTCGCGACGAGGAATTGGGGGAGGTTAGGGACTAATTATTAGGAATTTATAGCCTGTGACTGAGGACTGCAGTTTTCGAATCTGCCGGCGGTGCTCTTTAACCGGTCGACCTGGCCACTATCGGTGTCAAGGCATCTGTTGTGCTTTACCGTCCTGCGAGTGCGTTGTTCGTGCTCTTGGAAGATTATCTCTGTCCACGACGAGGTCCAAGGACAAGGTCCAAATATCATTGTACGGTTTGACAAACGCGCATTCTCCTTGCTTGCACTGTCAAATCTGCCCAATCCATTCGCCAGTCTCCATTTCAGACTGAAGTTCTGGAGTTGACGCAGCCCCGAACTATACAAATCCTCCACTTTGAAAAAAGTATCAACATTCCCTTCCTTGCAGTATCTGAAAGATCAGTCCTTACTCTTCTCCCACAACTCCGTGTCACTCCATGGCAAACTTCTCGGAAGGACGGCTCCATGTGACACTTGCAGCAATCTTGACTTGTACCAAATATTCCATCCTCACAACCCTCGACTTGCCCGCCGAAAGCAAGACCGTACGTCCCCGAACACTCATGGAGCTGCGATCTGACTCGAAATGAGGCCTGCCTGCGGATCCTGGCTATACGCAGTGCCTGAAAGGTTACTGAGGGGTTGGATACAAGCTCGAGGCGATATGCGTCCCATATATCGCCCACCACCTACAGGCGAAGGTATCCACCGTCTCGGACTCTGAGCCGCAGTTTTGAGGCCTGGAAAATTGAACAGATGGTACTTCAAACGTTCTGATAGCATCTTACCAATACAAAATACAGTTGCTGCCGGTTGTGGTCTATGTGCGTTAGTGTATGATGCGTTCAAACTTAAACATGCAGTTGCAGCACGAGAGGTTGGCGACCTTTCCAATCATTCTGGCACCCGGTGCGACGATCGAAGACGAACGAAACGATCCTCCTCGGTGTTCACCCTACTCAGAAACAGTCTTTTTGAGCCCTGAAGACGGATTGTTGAAGCTCTGCAAACGCAACATCGGTATCGAAAAAGGTGTGTCATGACTGGCACTAGGCTTTGACATGGGTCGGGTCGGGTCGGGTTTAAGGGGTAGTTGACCCGATCCGTCGGGTTATTGGGCTGGCTTAGGGGCCGACAATTAGCAGCATAGCAGCACCATGTTGATATTCAGCAGAAAATGGCGGAAGCACCGACCGCGGTCTCGCAATGGATTTCATTGTGGTTATATATTCCCTAGAGTCTGTCTCTTGACGAGTCCTGCTGGCAAGGATTACCACACACCACACACCACACACCACACACCACACACCATACCGATCAGTCACCTTTTTCGATGAGAGTATATCCCTATATCTGGCGTGTCAGTCACAGAGTGCTCTCTTAGGCCAATTGTGATCGCAAATCGAGACATCGACATCGCACGTCCGGGACCGGAAAACGGCATTCACATAGAATGCTTCCCGGAAATCCATCATGTCGGCTCGCTTTCGCTCTTGGGAGGCTAGCGAGAGAGTTACTAAAAGCCAATACCAGAGACACTGGCTCCTTTGAAGGAATACCTGGCATCAACTCCTGACTGCCCATATGTTTGCTCTCTGGGGAGGAGACTCAAAGCACGAGGAAATAGGATACTCGCAAATTGCTTCGCATTTTCTATTTCAAAGCGAAAAACACAGCCGTTGGGTTCATGCGCGAAACTCTCTCCGTGCACAATTCGTTGTTTCGAGGACTTGGTCCGCTTTCTCTTCTAAACGTCCTGGTGCTTCGTCAAAATACTGGTACACCATCCGATCATCGCCGAACTTTTCGCGAAATGCAGTCGTGACGAGCAAAAGTAATAAAACATGGTCTACCATCTCGTCTCTCAAGCATCCGTGTTCAAATCTCGCCATTCCATTGTTCGAAGACTGTTTCCGACTGCCACCACAGCACCCCCACCACCGGCGTGACTTGACTCTCCACAGAATGTCTTCGAACCCCCCAATGCCAAACGAAAACGATTGCGGGATCTTCCCAGACTGCTAACGGGCACAGGGGGCCGTCGTCGCCAATCAGCAACGGACTATCTGCATCCCCATCTCAAAGGAATTCCAACTCGCCGCAGAGCGCGTCCTGTTACGCGCTGATGCGATGGAAGCAGTGGAACGGCGTGGAGGCTTTTGGCGGCTGGGAGATGTCACACACATGGGACAATTTGCACAGGAACCCCTCCAGGGGTACCGCAGCGAAGGAAGGGGTGAGGCACGCATCGAATCCACAGCACTCAACCATAATAATCCTGGAAACAGTTCAAGCGAATTGTACCAATCTACCGTGAACATGGGTCAGGATATCCGCTGGAACGGTGCGATGGAACTCCTGTGGATGAATGAGAGTCTCCGACTTGAGGCCGGATTTGTCATGGCGATCATCGTCCTCCCAGAACTCCAGAAACCATGTGCACAAGCCACGGCTTTGGCACAGAGGCCGGATGAATGGAAAGACATCCATGGTCGCGGTAGGCTCCACCAAAAAGGTCGACTCAATCTGGAAAATGTCATGGGTTGAACCCAGGAGAAGGCTTGCTTCTGGCGAACCGGCACCAAGACCAAACGCCACCTCCTGATTGGACGAGACAGACAGTGCAGGGACGTAGGATCCTGACAACTGGCGTGTACGAAAGAGGAAGGTAAACGGAGAAGGGGTAAGACAATGGGTATCCCTTACAGAGGGGCGTACGATATAAGGAGAGGGAGAGGAAGTGTTCTTCCTTCTTCCTCGCTCTTCAGATTTATCCTCCCTTGGTACTAGGCTGGCTAGCCAGTTGCAGAGCTCTTTCCAAACCCTCACAGAAAACAAGTGCATACTCTGTGGAATGAGGTGGAGAGCTTCACCAAGACTTCGACACAGATCTGGATCAATTACGAGCAGGCATCGTTGGGAATGGAGTCTCTGTTTATCCTGGAAGGGATAGATACACTACATACGACACATGGATTGCTCTCAGCGATCCTTCTCCGGTACTCGGTTGAGGAGTCGAGGGTCGGACGTCAGCCCGAAACGTCCACTGCGCCGTCGTCTGTGATTGCATCACTTGTCAAAAACTCGGAGAGATCAAATCCGATAGCGCCGCAGACTGGACCAGGGGCAACTCGCACGAATGTCGCATCTGAAGCCAAGTCTGGCGTGGGATCATCTGAACATTCCCGATGATGCTCATTGACGAGCGTCTCGTTCGCCCTCGGCCCGTGAGTCAGCGGCATCAACGACACGCTCGCTTCGACTGGTGCAGGATCCCAGGACAGGGATGCAGGGCAATCAACGTGTTCCAACATCGTCGCCGTTGAAGAATCGGACGGTGCTGTGGGAGATGTTGCGGCTTCGCCAGATGAAGTTCGGAGTCTGTCCATTGCCTCGGAGAATCTCTGTTCTCGATACTCCCATCTCTTGGCCAAATCCTCATCGTTCAAAACATTTGCATCTTGCTTCGCTGGCTGCTGCTCTGGCGGAGCTTGCTTCACCTGCTCGAGTATTTTCGCAAAGGGAGACCAGATCTTCTGGAATAACGCGAGAGGAAGACCGGTACGGCAAGCATCCTGTCACAAGCTAAAGCGGTGTGCAGACCTGCTCGAAGCTATGAGAGTCAACACTCATTCTGGACGGGCAGCAATGAGAGAATCCATACCTTGTCATTGTGAGTTGGGTGAGCCAGACTGCACGACACGGAACCGTACAACCCGCCGGCGGCAATGGCCCTTCCCCGACTTCGTCAGCTGCCCTTGCGGCGGAGGTGATACAGGTTGTCACCAGTCACTGGCTGGAGTTAGCCGGCCATGAAAACGCAAAGTGTCTCGCCGACAAGTACCTGCGAGAGCTTGGATGACCGCCAACCCATTAACTCCTTCCGAAAGAACAAAGTTATTCACGATCTCATTCACGACGGGGGGCAAATCTTCGCTGTTCTCGGAGTTTGTTCAGATCGTTGTCGTCCGAATACCCTGACTGGAAGCGTTCAGATGCGCTGTCGCATTTCCAGTATTCGTACTGGGCTATACATCCCGAGCAAGACCTATTTACCCACCATATTCTCAAAAACTCGTTTTTTATACGATATTTGCACCATCTTCGAAGGTCTCGGAAAGTTATTGCAACAGAGAACTCAGCAACGTCTGATACGACGGACCCTCCTCATTGCCCGACTTGAGCAGGGAGACGATTGACTGAATTTGCATATCCATCCTCAGGTGCCGGAATCACGGGGTCAGTGTTGTCCATCATGTCGTCCATCGTGTTCAACCCCTTGGAGATATTTTCCACGGAATTCGACCAGGATGTTGACCTCCCAGCCATGGTCTGATTTGTCTGGGTGGTATGTGGAGTCCGAGCGTCGGTATTCCCGAAGGTCTGGCTCTCCTGATCTGATTCGAGGAATGTCCGTCCGTTGTCTTGGCATACCACAGCCACCTGGCCACAGCTGCCACAACTAGTTCAAAAGTCAAGGGGAAGGAGCGGCTCGACCCGCCAGCCACCGTCAAACTTCCTTAAGACTGCATGTCTTTCCCCGTTTGCTTTGAGATTTGTCCCCAACACATACTGTGCACAGTCATTACTACGGTTGTCTTTTGACCAGGTGGCCTGCATTTACTTTCGTGCCTGGTGGCACCATTCAATCTGCGCCGCACTGTCCTCGCCGTGTATTGCATGTTCCGACGCCGAAACAATGTCACTCAGACAGATTATCGAGTGGACTCCCTACCCAAATGTCATCGTCACGATAGAGGAGCCTCTTCCGTCCAGCCACCCAACGACGCCTAATGTCAAACAGGAGCCTGATGTGAAACAAGAGGCTGGTGTGAAAAAAGAGCCTCATGTGAAACAAGAGCCTGATGTCAAGGAGGAGCCTCATGTCAAGGAGGAGCCTGACATCAAGCAGGAGCCTGACATCAAGCAGGAGCCTGATATCAAACAAGAGCCTCATGTCAAGGAGGAGCCTGATGTCAAACAAGAGCCTGGTGTCAAACAAGAGCCTGGTGTCAAACAAGAGCCTGATGCCAAGCAGAAATCCAGAGCCGCGGAGAGCACCCTGCCCGCTCAGCAGTCAAGCATGGGTCAACAAAGCGTGATTGGACCCTGTTCCGTCTTCTGGGAAGCTCAGTGATGCTGACGTTCCCCTTTTAGATCCGCCGCGAGTACCAATTTGTCCGGGTTTGGAGAGACGAGGTGCCGGGACAACGGAAGCCGGGGCCAAACGAGGACGCATCGAGAGATTGGCCATTTCCAATCCCTCCCGGGGTAGTCTCTATCTGTCCGCTGGCTGATGGCACCTGGGAGCTGGCGGTCCTCACGAGTCACGTTGAGGACCTCGACTTGGTGATCAACAAGAACCTCACGCTGGAAAAGAACTACAATCCTCTGACACCAACGGGGGTTGATCTGCATTGGTGGTCGTATAATCACGCCACTAGGATTCGGAGAATCTTGTTGTACACACGAGTGAAGATTGAGGGTGAAAAGCCCGGGTTACGTGGTGCGCTGTACCGTGGCCTGGGTGTGCAGTGTGGAGTGCCAGATATAATGGTACTCACTCGGCATGGCAGACCACTGTTGTTTTGACGAGGAGCCAATGCAACGAGATATTCAACACGTCGGTTAGGCTGTACGATCTCAACCGTACCTTGGGTGGGACCGAGCGTTCTTGCTTTTTCATTTGGCAGAATCGGTGGAAGTTTGTGACGATGGATCTCCTGGAGTCCGGTGGTGTTTTCATTAGGGGGACATTTCTTTCTGCTACCTCACGCGAGGAAGCTTAGCTAGCACCTCAGTATGAGGTCTTTAGTCTAGCAGATCATAGCCTAGCAGACCACTAGAAAGTATCACGAACAAGCTTAATGGGTAGAATGCTGGCATCCGTCCTCGCGAGGTCTCATCACGAACGAGTGTTTCTTGAGTGCATGTCTCGGGACCTACAGTCACGGGGAAAGGCACGAGAAAGGCGATATCCCTCACCCGCAATTTCTTCGAGTTGATCTCTGGCCAGCCGACGACGTGATTCACAGATCAGCGTCATCATCGTTTAACCCTTCCCAGCCGACTCAAGTCGAAGGCTCTTCCCGTGCCCGGATTGTAAAGGGAGGGCAAGTCCGCCCAGAGCGGAGATCATCACATGTAAGGATTTGGTCAAGGCCGTTGTCATTTTCAATTTTGGTATTTTTCTTCTGGCTGATCGTCCTCGCTCTTTTTCTCGTCTGCAGCCATTGTTTGGCAAGTGAGTGGCAGAACGACAGGCGCCTTATTCACCACTTCGGTTCGCCGACGATGACGACAACTCCCCGAGACGCGCAGGGCCCTCCGCCCCCTCCCAACTCGCCAGAAAGGTCGGGTAAACACCAAAGTACAGAGGTGAAGGAACCCTCTGCCTTTTTCAAAGAAGTGTCCACAGCCTTATCCACCGCTTTGGAGGGGCGCAGGCAGTCCGACGTGGAATCTGCACCTCCCGCGAAAAGACGACGGCTTGAGACCGATCCTGCAGGAAAATCAGCACGGGAATCTCCTGCGACTTGAATGACATCTCACAATCAAAATTCGGTCCGTTGCTGCAGTCTGTCAAGGAGACCTACAATGTCCTTTCTATTCGACTCGAAATTTGGGCGTATCCGGTACTCACCCAACTGAGAAATGGCGGTGACGACGATCCCTTCGCGCGGTCAACCACGAGGTACGATCCGTCGGGGGAATCCAATCCATTCGACTTGCGAGGCAATTTCCATCCAACTTTGTCGCACAACCGATTCACCAGAGAACAGGAACACAACGGTTTTGGTGTGCGTGTGAAATTTTTTTTGGGCGGTGGATGGAGAAGATATGGTTATCATCGATATGGGCAATGCCTATCTGGAAAGCTGGGAAATGGACTGACGGAGCCGTTGAACAATAGGCTGAGCTACTATTGATTTCCCAAACTACACACGCAGGCAGGCAGTGAAATACGATTCATCCAGCCCGGTATGTTGAAAGTCCATGTCTCTTCGATCGTGACCCGACGATGTTCAAGTCTGAAGAATCTAAGATACATTGTTCTTGGTCATCCTACAACGGCTTTCTGGACGGTATGATGCTCTCTCAACCCTCGTTCACTCGAGCCTTCACTTCCGGCGACGGTATTGACGATTCCCTTACAAAGGAGCTTTGATCTTCGACCAGGGCAATAGTGCGGAGTTGAGCACGTGGAACGCCGTGGTCACTCTGACCAATGCTTTTGTCGTGACTTCCGTGCTCTCCGTTCTTTTTGCACATCACATCGACGAACCGTGATCAGCCCCCTGGTCTCAGGTTAAATCTTGTTATCATTGGATATTTTCTCTCGTACTACACTTTGTCCAATACCCACCTCTGCAAGGGATATCACCAAACTCCCTCTCCATCCTTGCGTAAAAGAGGCGGAATTTCCAATCTTGTTTCTTTGCATTGATCGCTCCGTCTTCCCTACACCGCTCCCCTTGACGCCTGATCTCTACTTGCACAGAGGCCGAGGATCATTGGGTGAGACTCAAGAAGCATGGAGGTCAAGTTGCCTTGCATTCAGCTGTGCAGGGGACCCCTCCCGGATGGTCACTTCGTCCGCATGTCCCGACCGACTGAGCGCGATGTTGCTCTAACCCTGATCGGGAAGGTTAGCCGAATAACTTCCACAACGGCACACAAGAAAAATTCGCTGGTGCCTGCGCTCGAGAGACTTCCCCGCCTCATCAATCAATCAAGGTATTCATTCCACTTACACGAAAGTCCGATCCTGAACTTGAAAAGCCATTCATTTCCGGGCGCTGACCCCGAGCCATTCTGTCCGCTTCACACTCAATTCGACGGTGCAACATCGATATGGGTCGTGCTTCAGAACCCCAAAAGACCCGGAAGGCGCTTAGCCTCACCATCGAAGAGTTTAGTACATTCAAGCAAATCTGTCGAGTTGTTCAGGAGGCTTGGATCGAAGAACACCCACAGTCGAAATGGGCCGATCTCAATCTGACCTGGGGACTGATCCCCGAGCAAGACATTCAAGAAATGGTACGGCTGGTGTGGATCCAATGTGTCCAGATGAACATTTTACGTTCTGGGAACAACTCATACACGATCAGAAGCAGTATTCGGGACCGATTGCAGGTGGTCCGCAAGAGTTGGTATAGCTACCAAAAACGCAAGGCCGAGAGGCAGAGACTCAGGTAATTGGGAGATTCTGGATCTTCATTTGTTGCTTCACTCGCTGATTATCTGTCCAGCACGCCCGCGAACGACAGGTCTCTGTCAGTTCTTCCACCAATCGAAAACGGCAGACCTGATTCACAAGTCTTGCCAGGCTCGGGGAGCCCGCAGATGGGACAAAATCTCGGTGCCTCTGGAGCGGGAGCACCCCATCCGCCCACGGGAAATGAATCTGCCCGGGCGTAGCCACTGAGGGCAAGGACACACACCGCGTCGTTTTGTTCGAAGGCCAAAAGTGCTAGCAGGGGGGTTCCCACTGGCGTGAGACAGGTTTTGACAACAAGAGCCAGAAGCATTTCCTTTGTATTTCTGCTGGTTTTGGAAAAAGGGTCACGAAGTGTAAGCTGTAAAGCAGCTCGTCCCAATTTGGATGAATGTCCAAGCCACTCTCTCACAATTCTATCAAAAGGGGAGAAGGGATGTGCATAACGAGGTCCTCATAAGAGTGACTGCCCACCTTCCCACAAACCGTGTCTTCAAGTCCTTTAGTTGACCCTGTCACATACCAAATACCACGAGGTGACCCGATCATTTGATCCTCCTCCGCGACAAAGCTCCCCGATCCCAACCTTGCTCTTGGGATAAGTTTTAGGATGTCTCCTTGGAAAGAATCAAAGGCGGTCTTGGAAGAAACGCCCGACCAGCCGCTGAAACAGTTTGGGAGTAATTTTGACAAACGGGAGCGTGCATGTGTCCGCAGGTGGAAAAAGGAAGACAAATCCGACAAGGGGGTGATCGACGAGTTCTTCCTCACATTCTCCATCACTGCGATCCCGGAGGAGCAGGCTTCTGAGGAGAACTGCGCCCGAGCAGAATCTGCTGGACTTTGATTCTTGATAGCGAATGCTACATGCACGGATTCTCAGCCTCATTTTTTTTGTTCTGGGGCGAACAGCATAGTCCAGTCAAAGAGTTCCAGCCTAAAGACTAATGGTGAACCCCCCTTCCGGGAACGGATGTCAGATGAGCAATTTCAGAAACTCACAGATGCACGACTGAAAAACGAGCTACTACAATTCGTCCTTGGGCAGTTCCTAGAGCGACAACAATGCCAGCAAAGTCTTCGACAACTCCAGCTTCCAGTGGAGCGATGAAAGATGTCGTGCTTGGGGGAATCAACAGAAATTACAATCGTGATTCAAGAGATTTTCACGCCCGGAAAATCATGTAGTACGACCTTCGACAACTTTGGGGGCGAGATCTCTCTCGACGCCAGTACAATCCCGCGCTGCGATGGTTGAAATGGAAGTCTCTACGGATGACGGGACCAGCTTCAGAGACCTGATGTGGAGCTGGAACTACTCAGCCGGAGACGTGGCATCAACTATAGGTACGGACCAAGACATATGTGACCAGTCGTCCTGTCTCCCGATCAACCTCCAATTCAGGCATCCAATCGTTTCTCCTGGTTAAACGCTGGCCCCCAAGACCGATTCGGACCCCACCCCCTTGTGGCCTGAACACGAAGACAGGTGGGAAAAGAGCGGTGTGTGGGCTTCAGTTCAACCCCTCGAGATTCTGACCGCACTCGACATGGCGGTGCAGTCAGGTGGGTACCAGAACGCGAGAGCGGCCTGAGGTGGTGCGGGAGGCGCTGGGGCCTGATGGTCAGCAGTTCGAGGCCTTCAAGGACATTACCGCACATGTTCATCATGGATATTGCGCGGGGCATCCTGGCAGTGTGTGGGCCAGCTACGGGCTCACCGGCAGGAACCTCCCCGGAGGTGGGGGGGCCCGGGTCGGACCTTTGGAGTGTATTCTCCTCCTTCTGCCGCCGAACTAGGCGTGGTCAAAGCTGGGACCCAGTGGGTGACAGAATTCCGTCCCAACTATTAGGGTATTCTGCCCGGATTTCCTGCCTCACTGGGGATGAAATTTCCTTCTCAGTCCGGCAATAGTAGTAGCTTGGGTGTTGGGGGGGAGGTAGGGGGGAGGTTCACGATAGTACACGAAAGAAAATTTTGGGGCCTTTTTTTTCCGCCATTTTCAACTATAGTGCGACGAAAAAATCTTTTAGGGACTTTTAGGGGACATTCAGATGATTTTTAGGGGCTTTTAGGGGGTCTTATAAGGGTTTGGAAAGAGTTCTAGCTAAAAAAAAACACTCCTCTCTCGCTCTCCTTGTATCGTACGCTCCTCTGTAAGGAGTATCCATTATCCTACCCTTTCTCCCTTTTCCTTCATCTTTCGTACACGCCATTCATTCATTCCTTACGTGCGCTCTCCTCCTTACCTTCCCTTACGTACGGTGTCTCAGTTGTCAGGATCCTGTATCCCTCACACCGTCTGTCTCGTCTATTTAGGAGGCCACATTTTACCTATACATTGTACACGTAACCTCTCCCGGGTTTAACCCATCACATACAGAATCTAGAAAGAGAGCGGTTTGTGGCGAGGATCGCAGAGCCTGACAAGGAGAAATCTCAGTTGATGCCGCCGGTTCACACCATCAGGAACGAACTAGCTAACGCCGCAGCTCATATCCATCAAGCTTTGGGGACGGCGACGAAATTACCAACAGGCTAGCAAAGGACATGATATTCGCGGATAATAACATGGACTTTTCTCACTTCATTCCCGTTGTGGGAGTCACGATTGGGTGAAAGGTACCAACACACCAGCCTTGACTGTCACCATGTCGACGAAGCGTCCATCACCATCACAAAGGCCTCTAATGTCGTCGTCGCCCATCTCCAAGAGTGGGACGCGCGCGTCCACCTCGTGTACATAAGCCTTCCTCGCGAGCCTGTCAAACAACCCTCCACGTCCAGCTTGTCGGAGAAATTCCCCCCTCAGATTCTCGATTTCTTCCATCAATCCCATATGCACCTCCAAGGTCTGTCGTTCGAACCTGCGGGCGGTTAGCAACGGGGTGGAATCGATCGAAGAAGACTGACTCTGCATTCACGGAAATTTCAATTCCGTTCACGTTGGGCCACTTGACAGGGAAAAGGAGCATGGCAAGCGGTCCAAACTTTTCGATGATGTCGAGCCATCGCCGTCCTCTTCTGATGTAATCGGGCAGAGACCTTTTCGCCGCATTCCATCGGCCTGCCCCACGGACAGCGGTACTGATCAGGCCATCCCTTCCAAGCCGGGCGTCGCTTGGAAACGGAATGTTCCAATACTGTTCGATCACAGCCTTGTACGCTTTGGTTTCCGGCCATGGCCGTGGGCTTCGGGTGGTAGCTTCGTCGAAGAGTCGGGCCATTTGAGCGACCCCAATCCGCCCGAGATAGCAATTCAAGTGTTGTGTCTGGTCAAGATCCCTGACCGCTTGCAGCACTTGACGTGGGTTAGTGCTGAAGACGGGTGAAATTCTCGATTGAGGAGCACATAGCCAATAACGACAGGCATCCCTCAACTCTTGGAAAGCACCCCTTCCCCCAACCATCGACGCCCATACACCAATATAGCTATGGCGCCACTGTCTTGGGTTCTGCAGGCCCAGTTGTAGCCTCTTGTTTTGGGAGGCGTGCGGATCTTCCTGGCTCTCCTTTCTCTCCTTTCTCTCCTTTCTCTTCCGTATCCAGATAGGTACATCAGGTGTGTTTACCCATGGGGAGGAATCAATCGAAAGGTTGGTGGTCAAAGAGCTCGCGCAGGGTAACGCTGGGGTCGGCGGGACAGCCCTCGGGGGGCTCCCGCAAAGTAAGTCCGAGATCGAAACAACGGCCCTTGCAGCCCGGTGTCCAGAGGAGCCCGATGTGTCGGACGGCGCTGGGTTTGCGTCTTGAGTAGAGGTAGGCCTCGAGGGTGGGCACGGTACGCTCGCGTCGGGAGGTTCTTCGTGGTCGCTTTCCCGAGCCGCGGCCGCATCATTCGGCTTTTCGGCCCGCGAAAGCCTAACAGAATCGATGTCAGAACTTTGACTTGGACTGTCCACAGCGGACACGCAAGCCGATTGATGCGGCTGCGGCTCAGGAAAGCGACTAGCATCGATGCCAGAACTCTGTCTTGGACTGTCCACAGCGGATGCGCGGGCATCAACCTCATCGAGGTCTCCCGCCTTGTGTTTGAGTTGCTCGGTATCTGCCATCATCAGGGTTGACGAGACTGCAAAGGTGCGATGTTGTCAAGGGGGTGATTGACGAATTAATAGGCGGTCAACCACGAGTAAGGCCGGCCATCTTGGCATTCGTGTGATGTCGACCCATGTAGGGTCGCACAGAGGACCAAGTGATTCCTGATTGTAGCAGTTGACAGGGGCCAACCGGGAACGATGTAAGTGTACAGGTTACGTGATGGTAACATGCCTACTTGCGCTACCACACCTTCGGTGAGGTGTAAGAGCCCCAAAATCTATGCCAAACCACGGAGGACCATCCGCCCCCAGTGGTCCCCGAAAATGGTCCTTCACTTTGACACACATTGTATTGTATGAAGATTATTCGCATAGTATTGCCACTTTCTTTCACAGATAGCACCCGGGCAATAGCCGAGTCGGGTAAGGCGGACGGGTATGTCGCCTGCAAAGTCAAGTAAATCACCTCTCTCTAAGCCGCAATTTACGGTCGGTCCCAGCGATACCAATTTCATCAAAAGACAGGCCAATTCGTCATTGTCCAAACGTTCAATGTAATCTTTCTCCATCGGGGCGTCGAAAATTTCCTTTATAATTAAGTTTGTTCATAGATGACAGGTGCAGCTGCTCGCAGATTTCCCGCGTCTTGTCGTCGAGCTGGGCCTGGATCTTGTTTGTCTGCTGGCTGAGAGCTGGTTTCATCGAAGATTATACCATCATCAACAAGGCGGACGATCCATATGCGCATACGGATTTACCGTGGCTCCAGCCATCATGGCTTCCACGCCTGGCAATTGTACCGGCGGCCGAGTAGGTAAACCTGGAATAAAGCTCTCCGAAGAGGATCCTTCCCCTCCAGCAAGTTGTTCCATGTCCCTTTTCCCCATCTGCCAGTGCATCTGTTCCACAATCTGCCACGGCCTATTCAAGTCTCGACCGATATCCTCCCAAAATGCCTGCTTCTTTCTATAATGGACCGAGTTAGGGTCTTGTTGTGAACTGTGAAACCTAGATCGTTCAGGGACTTGACATACCGTGCATACGCCTTTGCGAGCTGAAGGTTCAGCTCTTCATCCGCCAGCAGATCTTTACCGAAGAGATAGTTCTGGGCGCGCAGCCGGCAACTCCTGCCGGTTCGACCAGGGATTTCCGCCGCAATCGC